TATAGGGAAAGGGAGGCTATGGCCAGAACCAGTGGAATCTTGTAAGCCAAAGTGTTGAATATGCATTTTTAGAATAAAAATGAGAAGTTAACGTTTTTTGCTGATGTCGTGTCATTTGCATGGAAACAGAAAAATCACTTGGAAGGCAGTTTTGCTAGTAATTACCAGAGAATGTAGTGGTGGTAGGAGTGGCAATAAGTGAGCTGATTTCAGAGATGAATTTGGAGGTAAAATAAAGAAGACTTGGTTTGGGTGTAAGAAGTGGAGAAGTGTCAAGGATGGGATAAGAGTTTCTAACATGAACGTAGTTGATGGTCCATTTGCATAAATACATTACAGACAGAATGACTTTTGAGGGTGCTGTTATGAATTTAGTGTTAGCCATATTTAGTGAAGATTTCTTTGAGATGGTTGTATGTAGATGATAAATTGGCAGTCAAACAGATGCATGAGAAGCTCAGAAACATGGTCTGGACTACTAGCATGTAGATGATATTCAGAACCGTGGGAGATAATGTGATCATGTCTGGAGCTGTGCTGTCTAATGCAGATGCCCATTTACAAAAGTACAGTTCAGAATATTGTTCTTCCATTTCAGTAATCACATTTCAAGAACTCACGAGTCTTTTGTGCCCATACTGAACAGCACAGCTATAGAGCATGCCCATCATCACATAGCCCATCATCACAGAAAATCTTAGACAGTGATTACATAGAATGAGAAAATAATTTGGGATAGAATTCAAAGAATTCCTTTTTGAGTTATATATAGGAGTCAGTACTTCAAAGAGCAGTAAAATATACTGTCCAAAGGCGACCAACTGGATGAGTCATTTCATAGGAACCTTTGGAAGAGATGATTTCAAATGTGGGGTCTGTCTAGAGAATAGTGATATCAGGGCTAGAGTGGTAGCTCAGCGGTTAAGAGTGCTTGCTGCTCTCCTACCCAAATTGAGTGTTCACAACCACCTGCCCTCCAGCTTCAGGGGATATAACACCCTCTTCTGGACTCCATGGGCACCTGAACTCATGTGCACATACCCTCATTCCAACACACACATATACACATAAAATAAAATAAAAATCTTAAAAAAAAAAAGAATGGTGGTTAAGTATAAGAGTCCTGAGAAAACTAGAGGAATTCAGAGTGATGGAGGTCCTGGCGAAAAGAGTCTTCTTCCTGGAATCAGATTGGAAAAGGGATGAGTACAAACACAGGTGGCTTTCTTTTCTCTGGAACCTGAGGTGACACAGGCTACTGCAGTGAGAGGACATGAGACGGAGTTGATCCACAGTCTTAGAATATGACATGGAAAGGTGTGAAACACTTGTTTCAGATAGCATTAGGAGACTAGTTGACTATGGAAACCAATTGCATTCTAGGATAGAGGGTCCATTTGTGGTTGGCAAACAAAATTTCATTATAATAGCAAATCTGTGTGTATATGTATATATACTTGGGTGCCTGGTTCCACTAGTTGCTCAGGTGGAAGCTCAGAGAAGGCAATTAGTTGGACTTCTGTGGGTTAGAATTTAGCCAAATAGGTGCTGTGGGAGACCAGACGTACAGCAGTTGTGGATTTTTGCAACGGATTGTGATGATGACATCTGTTTGAGCAAAAGGGAAGTGAAAGCAAGGAGAACTCAGTGGATAGTAAGTAGAGGGATTAATGGGCCAGAGGTTCCCATGAGGTCAAAAACAATTACCGGGAGGATAATGAGCAAGTTAATTGGAAGGAATGATAGGTCAGAGTGGGATATTTGAATTAGAGGTTTGTTAGTTAGATGATAGAGTTTCTAGGATGAAAAGTCCAGGTATTATTGACACAGTCCCACTAGGGAGCCAGGCAGTAGTGGCTGAGGTAGAGTGGGAAGGCCCCTGGATGAGGAAGTTGAAGGTGTTAACTGTTTTTCAGCACCAACTTTAAAGGGAGACTAACTAATGACAGGAGTTTGAGTGGCGGTAAACTCTTAAATGTCAGGCATTGAACCCTGAATTCCAAGGTTCTAGTAGAGTGGTGGCCACACAGAGGAAAGGAAAGAAAATGGTATAGCCCAATGGATGAACCTCAGAACAGAAAGGGGTTTTCCTGAGGAAAGAGGAGAGGGGGTAGTCTAGAGGGGATAGTGCATTCCATCATGTTTAAGGCAGGATGGTGGTGCCTGCCTATAGACCCAGCTGCAGGGGAAGCTGAGGCAAGAAGACCACATGAGACCAGGAGATCAAAGCCAATCTGGACAACATAGACTCAGTCTCATAATTGCATCATGTGTGAGAGAATGTAATAGCCTCCTTCAAGAGGACTGTGGGGGAAGCAGTCATCTTGAAAACCAGCCAGTTTGCATATGGCACTCATTTTTTAATCTGGTTGTATGTTAAAATCACTTGGCAAGTATTTAAACACTACCAGTGCAATCAAGTATAATGCTGTGTGCCTGTAGTCCCAGTACTTGGAAGATTGAGGCAAAAGGATTGCATGTTCCAGACTAGCCTAGGCTACATAGTGAGATCTTCTCAAAAAAAAAAATGCCAGTTTCTCGGCTTCATCCCCAGAGATTCTGGTTTCATTGTCCTGGGGTGGGGCCTACATACATATGTCAATATGTTCTAAAAGTACCTCTGGGGCTGGAAAGATAGCTCAGTTGATAAAATGCTTGCTCTACAAGCATGAGGGCCTAAGGTCCATCACCAGAACCAATGTTAAAAAAGCCAGGTGTAGTGGCAAGCATGTGTGTATTCCCATCACTAGGTAGGCAGAGACAGTAGTTTCTTCAGGCTTACTGGTCAGCCAACCTAGCCTACCCAGTGAGCCTCAGACCAATGAAAAGACCCTGTGTCAAAAAAAAAACCAAAATGGATGTCTCCTGAGACAAGATACCAGAGAGATTGATCTCTGGCTTCCACACACATGTGCACACACATACATGCATCCACACAATAATAAAGTTGCCTTGGTAATGTAATGTAACTGTAGTTGAGAACTACTGAGAAACACAGGGAGTGTTCAGATGAAGTGAAGGATATAGGAATATTGCTGACCACAGAGGGCTGGGTGTTCGGACAGGGTAGAAGGAAGAGAAGACAAGATTGGATCATGGGATAATCTGCTGTATTTTGTAACCAACAGGATAAGAGAATATCCATTGTTATTTTCCAATTTCTGGGTTCTTCTGGCCATAAAATAGGTCAGGTCTGTATTTGCTAAAATGTATCATTCAAGAATTGTGGGGAAGTGGCGAGGTGAGATGGCACCTGCCTTTATATTCCAGCTCTTGGGAGACAGAGGCAAGTGGATCTCTGTGAATTTAAGGCCAGCTTGGTCTATATATTGAGTTCCAGGCCAGCCAGGGCTACAAAGTGAGACATTATCTCAAAAACAAAACAAAACAAACAAACAAACAAAAATAAGCTACAAAATTAGAAGAAGAGGAAAAGAGCTATGGGAAAAAGAGAATGTATTATTCTTCTAAATTTGTATCAGATAGAAATTGCTTCATTTTACCTATTCTGGTTATAAATTTTCTGAGAAGTGGAGGACTTATCATATCCTAATGTCTTTCCCAGACTCTTTAAGGCCACTTCTAATTGACACTTTAGCTCTCCACTTTGTTCGTCTCCATGCAGTAGATCCCCATTAAGAATCTTATCTCTAGTCCTCTGGATTGTTGTTCATTTTTCTCCAATTTTATCTCTTTTATTCTTCTGATAAGTAATTTTATTTTTTATAAAAAATACTGCATTCTATGAAGATAGAAACAAAGCAAAGAGAACAAAAACAGAGTCAAAGCTTGAGTACTAGATTTCCAATGTAAGAAACTAGAATTTTAATTTCATTTTCTCCTTTCTTTGTATTTACAAGTGTGGGAAAGTCCATTTCAGTAGCCATTTATTAAATGCCTTCTGGCCATGAAGTCTGACCTTATTGTCACCAGTAGAGTGATCAACTAGCCCAGGACTTTCTCTATACTGGCATGAAAAGTCTTGAGTCATACATAGGAATCCCCTCAGTCCCAGACAACTCTGAGACTATTGGTTACCCTAGATTATGGAAAGCATGGGGTAATGTGTATATGTATCCTGCCTCTTGACTTTAAGGAGCTTTTAGTTTTACAGGCATGGGTAATCAATATGTGTAGTCAACCAATTGGAATGAGAATATAAATAAATAATAGGAGATATATATAAACTCTGACTGGCCTGGAACTCAGAGATCCACCTGCCTCTGCCTCCTGATTAGAGCTACCACACCCAACTCAGGATCACCATATTGAACCTGTTGATTCAGATGATAATTATAGAACATCAGCAAACTGGAGAAAGTATATTATACCCATAAAAAAACTAGCCCCTTGGTAAATTTGCTTCTAATTCTACTATTTCCCAATTGACTATACTTGAACCAAACCACTGTTGGACATAGAACATTATATTGCTTTTACAAGGTTATTCAAAATTACATTTTTCCACTTGCAATAATGAGGTGTGGGTATGTCTTTTCAGAATACTTCACATCAATCCCACTGTTTTTAATTAGTTTGTAAATTTAATTTACTCTGAAACTAACTATGTTACTTCCTTTATTCCCTTAATGCTTCAGACACTGTGTGATCTGGATTTGAAATGGTAGGAATTTCCAGCTCTGGGATAGGAAGAGGGTGATTGATGAATTTATCTTTTGCTAGAACTTAGAAATACCTGAATTGACATCCAAGCGATCAGGACATATGAAACTATGATTTAGTATGTCTATTGCTAGGCTAATTTGTTCATTGGCAGTTCATCAGCATTGTGAGTACCGTCTTCCTCTAGGGTTTCCTCTCTGCTTCATCCCCTCTGCCACCACCACACCAGGTCCCTTATTCTTGGACATATGCTGCTTGTTAACAGTCTGGAATATTTGTGATCTGGACCTCCTACTGACTTGATAATTTGAGAATGTGATCCTAATAAAACATTGTATCCCATAGCTGGATATGCGTGGATTTAATTCTTTTCAAAGGTGGTTGCAAAATCCGGGTACAAGGGGACTGGACCAGAGAGCGCCGCTTTGAAATTCCTGATGAAGAACACTGTTTGAAGTTCCTCTCAGAGGTCTTTTCAGCTCAGGAAGGTAAGTCATGACTAAATGATTTTCTGTCCGCTGTTTTAATGGGAGTAAACTACTGACCTGCTGATTCAGAAGCAAATAGACATTAGCAAAGTCTTTCACTCTTTATGCACTGATAACTGAATTTTATTCCTTCATGAATGAACCCAGAGAGAGAGAGAGAGAGAGAGAGAGAGAGAGAGAGAGAGAGAGAGTAGAGAACATGTCTACCAGCTTTAAGGAGAAGGTTAGTGCTATTGTATGTAGTTTACTGCAGATTATAATCACCCACCCCCCTTTCTTATCCCAGATGACTCCAGAGCTGTCCACATTTCCTTAGGTTCTTTTATCCTTTCAAGAATTGTGCTGACCCTCCATTTAAGGAGTTTGAATAAATGAATAGTTTGGGGTTATAGTTCGGACACTGTCTCTCCAGTTTCTGACCTGAGGTTTATCTTTTCTAGCTCAGTCACAACTTCTCCTTCCTGAACAGAAAGACTCATCCAGCTGGTACCAGAAATTAGACACTAAAGAGAAACCTGCTTATTCGGGTATTGCAAAGATTCTCTTATCCCTGTTTGCTATGATCATTTTAGAGTCAGTACATTGTATTAAGCTAGATGAATTGATTATGTGGATTAATGCCAACATCAAACATAATCTCCTGTGGAGTGGTTTTATTGACTCCATGGCTATGGATTATACTTACTCCCAATCCTTTCTATGGTATAGTAGCTCTTTAAGGACCAGCTTAGCAAAAATGACAAAAAGTCCATAGTCCACAGCTAGACAGCCTAGGTTTGAATCTCAAGTCTGCAGCTTTCTAGTTATGTCATCTTGTTCAAGTGACTCAACAGCTCTGAACTTCTATTTCCTTCTCCGTGGAGTGGGAAGATGTTTAATAGTACCTACCTTGTGAGGTTATTGTGATGACTAAAGAAGACAAATGATATAAACCCTCCTGTAAATGCTAGCAGTTATTATTCAAGTTCTAGACTAATGAATAAAAACTTCTAGTGTTCCACTTAGTGTGTCAGTGCTGCCAGGATGAATGTGATTCTTTCGATAAACTAAGTAGTGACTACCCTTATGGTACCCTTTTGTTCAGTTATGATCCTACCATGAGCAAATAACAGCCTTGTCTGTCCTGGCTATGTTGGAGGTTAGCTTCATCCCCACTTTGACTTTGGGTCTTGTATCCTTCAGGGCTTCTTGGATTTGAGGATAACTTTTCAACTATGAATTTGGATAAGAAAATGAATGTACAAAATCACCCCACAGGGATTCACCGGGAACCCCCACCCCCACCTCCTTCAGTGAACAGAATGTAAGTCCTGTGTTGCAACCTACTTCCTCCCTGTAGGAGGCTTGCATTTTAGGAAATTTGACTTTTGAATAACCGCTTTATTTGCTAGGCTTACACGGGAAAAAGAAGCTTCAAACAAAGAACAGCCCAAAGTGACCAACACCATGCGGAAGCTGTTCGTACCAAATACCCAATCTGGGCAGCGGGAGGGTCTGATCAAACATATCCTGGCAAAGCGAGAAAAAGAATATGTCAATATTCAGTCTTTCAGGTTCGTCTGTTTTTGCTCACTGAGTCTGAATATTTAGGTATAATGGACAATGGCCTTTTGATTTGTCAAGCATTATCTCAGGTAAGAATCAAAGCATGATGAAAGGGAATGGTCATCTGACTCAGGCTCCTTTCTCCACTGGTCAAAACCATGTATCTCCAAAATAATGGAGAAGCTATGGTTTCCCTTCAATTTCCAAACTACTAATAATAGCATGTCTACTAATGTTTTTATCTAAGAGGACCAATTCAAACTGAAATATAATAGAAAATTTCCCATTAACACATTCTATAAACAAGTATGTGTTTCTGTCTAGCCTGCCAAACCTTAGTTCAACCAATATTTTAAAAATTTAAATCTACAATTACTATCATGTATTACTACCATGTATTACTACTACTTGCTTTGGTAATTGATTAAACTGAGCAAGTTTCACTCAGTTCTTTTGACTGCAAGACCTGTCTTGGATTCTTTATTTTCATTTCACCTTTATTCATTAATATCCCCTTTTATAGACTTGGTACATGTGGTATATAGGGGGTGTGATGAGGCATGGCGTGTATCCCCAATGTGTGAAACAACAGCACTTCTTTTTGTCATTCATGAACAGAATGTACCTTTCTAATCCAAGACTCCAGTCCCATCTGTTATCCTTATATGCATCATTCAATCTATTTCAGTCATAGCTGTATCCTGATACTAAAATGTGCAACTCCTCATATTCTGCACAATGCTTATATGTAAACAATTAAGACAGTCATGAGTTCCCTTATGTTTTCCCCCTTAATACAGTATCTGCATCATCAAAATTTACTAAACAGGTGTCCTCATAATATTTCAAGAAGTGAGGGTTTGGGGCCAGCATGAAGATCTCTATTTCCCATCCAAAAGCTCTCCCTTAAGTATGAATTTGCATGGCATTTAATTGAACAGAAATGTGGTAGAACATTTAACTTTATGTGTCTTTTTAAAAATACATAGTTCTTTTTTATGGATTCACTTGATGTAAAATGTAAAGAAAAATAAACTCATGCCTTTATTTCCACATGCAAGAGATTTCTTTCTTCCGTATCTGCAAAACACTTCGAAGAGTTATGTCAGTATATCATGAAGATACCCTTCCATAGAAGTGGCAAAAGCAGCATTCTGTTTGTTCATATTTGATCTTTCTTTTCAAATTAATTTTTTTTACTGTTATGTATTAGATTTTTTGTTGGAACTTGGAATGTGAATGGCCAGTCTCCAGATAGCGGGTTAGAACCTTGGCTGAACTGTGATCCAAATCCTCCTGATATTTACTGCATTGGGTAAAGAACACTTCTGGATCTTACTTTTTGTTATGTATTTGGTATTAGTTTAACATGACTTTAGCTTCCCTTCTATTTACTTTTTTGTATATGTGTGTTTGTATTTATGTGTGTGCATATGTGTGAAGGCACTCATGCATGTGAAGGCCAGAGGTTGAAGTCAGGTGTTTGCTAAGTTGGTCTCTTCCTTATTTTCTTTTAGGTTTTTTTTTAGTTTCATACATGCATATAATGAATTTCAGTCATTTTCACTCCTTAATCACTTCTCTCATCCCCTTCCTCTCCTGCTGACACACTTCTTCCTCCCAATACATCCCCTCCTACTTTCACGTCTTCTTTTTGTGTATGACCCACTGAGTTTGATTAGAATTACCTGCATAAGTGCAAGTGGAAGGTTATCAACTGGAGCACAGACAACTTTTCAATAACTGTACCACTGAAGAAAAAGACATCCCCTCCCCCATTAACTACCAGTCGTCTCTCAGGAAGGTTTGGGGCCTCATGGGACCCTCCCCATCCATGATGAAATGTTAAAGGGCCCAGTCATGCAAAAGTCTTGTACAAGTAACCACAGATGCCATGTGGATGCAGGGTCTATATCACATCCAGAAGCTGCACAGGCCCCTCATCCTCTGGCTCCATAGATTCGTCACCACCCACTTCCACATGTTCCCTGAGGCTTGGGGAGGGGGGGCGAGTATAGATGTCTCACAGTGGGCAGAGCACGCCACTATCACTAATCCTCAGCACTTTGGCCAGTTATGAGTTCCTGCAATAACTGCCATCCATTCCAATAAGAAGCTTCTCTGATGAAGGTTGTCTACCTTATTTTTTGAGACAGGGTCTCTTACTGAACATGGATCTTGCCTATTCAGCTATATTGGCTGACTGTGAGCCTCACGGATCCTTCTCTCTTCTTCCTTAGTTCTGAGAATACAGGCACATGCCCTCCACACCCATTTTGTGCGTGTGTGTGTGTGTGTGTGTGTGTGTGTTGTTGTTGTTATTTGTTGTTATTGTTGTTGTTGTTGTTCTTTGTTGTTCTTTGTTGTTGCTTTGGTTTGGGTTTTTTTGAGACAGGGTCTTCCTGTAGTCTCAGTTGGCCTGGAACTCACTGTAAAGACCAGGCTGGCCTCCATCTTCCAGATGACGTCTGCCTGCCTCTGCCCCGAGTGCTAGGATTAAAGACATGGCTGCCACTCCTGGCTGTTTTTTGTTTTTCAATATAGGTGCTGGTGATTGAACTCAGGTCCTCATGCTTTTTGGGCAAGTGCTTTACTGACTGAGCCATCTCCCCAGCCCTGTTTTTCTCTAAAGCCTATTTGGTGAAAACTTAGCTGTGGGCTGTATGTGAGGGTTAACCTGTGGGTCAATAGGAAGCATGTATGAATCCCATAGGAAATTATGCTCATCGTAGAAACTGAGACTTGAGATCAGTTCTAACAGTGACTATTCATAGGTCATAAGATAAAAGTTCTGCTATTATCCCTATGAGAGTTTCCATTGTTGTTGCTTATATTTGCATAGCTTATGATGAGTATACTGGTAGAGATTCTTTTGAAAAACTGTCCTTGCTGATAACCTAGGTCACAGAGCAATTTTACAAAATTTATATCATGTCTCAGCAAATGGGAAAGGAGGTAGCCAAAGATAATTGTGGTCCATATATAGCTCCTGCGTCCTTTTTCCCCCTCTCAGATTCCAAGAGCTAGACTTGAGCACAGAAGCCTTTTTCTACTTTGAATCTGTAAAAGAGCAAGAATGGTCCATGGCTGTGGAGAGAGGTTTGCCTTCTAAAGCCAAGTACAAGAAAGTAAGCTGTGCTTTATTCTTTTTTTCCAGTATATGACTAAGTAGAACTCACTGAGAGTTATTCCATTATCTGAACCTCTTCCAAAATAATTGATTAATCACATTCTTCCCTATATAAAATACTGGGCTATAAGATACTAATCTCTCAGTTATTTCTGAGGAAAAAAATTTCCTTAAGATTTATGATCCTATATTTTCATCACTTAGCTTTTAGGAAAAAAAATTTATTGTTCTTGCAATAATAATTAAGCCACAATAATTACATATCGGCTAACTGATCTGTCTATTCCATAAAAGTTAGAGATTGTCCACTGAAATGGCCAGAATTAAATGCTTTAAAAAAAAAGAGCAATATGGGGACTAGAGAGATGGCTCAGCAGTTAAGAGCACTTGCAGATGACCCAGCATTGTTCTTCAGCACCCACATTGCAGCTCCAACAACCATTCATAACTCCAGGTGGTCCAACACCCTCATCTGGCCTTCTCAGGCACTGCATGACTCAGATACACTTACATGTAGTCAAAACACTCATACCCATAAAATAAAAATAAATAAAATTTTAAAGAGAAAAGCAATATGAATCATGTGGGATACTTAGACTATGCTTCAGAGTCAGAACAAGAATAGAAGTGTTGCGGGATTTAAACAAATTGTAAACTTTGTTATAAGTCATGAATAAAGTTGATTTTAGTAAAGTGATTTAATTTGTTGATCTTTAGAAGACATGTTGTAGAGACATTTAGTTCCTAGAAGAATTATTCTTGTTGTTGAGTTGCCATTGTAAGCTCTCTAAAAGGAGGAATCCAATTTTATCCTATGTCTTTGAACAGTTTATGCAGATAATGTAATTCCTGAAGATGTTATTGCTCCTTAGTTCAAGTTCACAAGTTAAATATAATCAAAACTAAAAGGATCACTGTTTATACATTTAAATTTCTTAGACAATGAGAAATCAGAAAATAGGAAGGGGAGATAAAAGGAAAATCTGGGATAGTGTTTTTTTCTTTATTATTTAAACTTTTAATTCACTCTTAGTACAAAGTATTTTAAAAAATAAATCTAAGACTAGGGATGTGGCTTAGGTAGAGTAGTTGTCTAACATGCTCAAGGTCCTGTGTTTGATACTCAACACTAAAAAAGAGATGCAAAGCCAGAGAAAAATGAGTCACCTCATTGTCCTTCAAAGCTTTTGACTCTTATTATTAGTCAAAGCAAGATTAGATTTTTCCACACAGAATTTTAGTTTCCACTTTAGGGGGTCCAATAGGAAAGAAGAGGATTTGGATTCAGATTTGGACATTAGTATATCATTTTGATAGACCAGTTAGTTCTAGGAAGTTAGCTGTGTAGCAGACAGTGACACTCACATTACCCTTTGTAATTGCCTGGAACTCATAGGTGCAACTAGTCCGCTTGGTGGGGATGATGCTTCTTATATTTGCCAGAAAGGATCAGTGTCGGTATATCCGTGATATTGCTACAGAAACTGTTGGAACTGGAATCATGGGGAAAATGGTGAGTTACATTGGAAATTTACTTGATTATTGTTTATATCCATGTGAAATTCAGTTGCTACTTGTGTGTACTAACTGGGTGATTACTCTTGCTAACAGGGTAACAAAGGTGGGGTGGCTGTGAGATTTGTATTTCATAACACTACTTTCTGCATCGTCAATTCCCACCTGGCTGCCCATGTGGAAGAGTTTGAAAGAAGAAATCAAGATTATAAGGACATCTGTGCAAGAATGAGTTTTGAGGTCCCAAATCAGACCCTCCCACAACTAAACATCATGAAGCATGAGTGAGTGGTTAACTCTTCATGGCCTTTGAACAGGTGGTATAAAAGTGATTAAATGTGGTGAGAAGCTATAGAGCTGTGAAAAGCAAAGGATTACTATTTTTGGATTGGGATCACAAAGAAAAGATAATTGTTTAGAAATAGCAGGTTCATCAAGGCAGAGAAATTAGATTTGACATCAGAAAATAAGGTCAGTTGTATTAATGGAGCTTCTAAAATAATGCTGGAAGAATCTTCAAATTAGAGCCAATTGTTTATAAAAATTGAAATAAAGGGCTGGAGAGATGGCTCAGTGGTTAAGAGCACTGGCTATTCTTCCAGAAGACCTAGGTTTGAATCCCAGCACCCACATGACGACTAACCAGCTGTCCATAACTCCAGTTCCAGGGGATCCGACACCCTCTTCTGTCCTCCACTGGCATTGCACGACACAGGTGCACTTACCTACATGCAAGCATAACACTCGTACACATAAAATAAAAATAAATCAAAAATTTTTTAATTGAAATAAAAGTGTTCACTATATGTATGATAAAATTAACAGTCATGCCGGGCATGGCAGCACATGACTTAAATCCCAGCACTCGAGAGGCAGAGGCAGGCAGATCTCTGTGAGTTCAAGGCCAGCCAGGTCTACATAGCAAGTTCTAGGCCAGCTGGGGCAACAAAGAGACCCTGCCTCAAAAAGACAAAAAAAAAATTAACAATCATATGCTTTAAAATCCTTTATTTCTTATCTTTTACTTCCCCCATTCAGTCCTTCTCTCCAAAGGAGACTCTTTAACATTTGGGTATTTATCCCTCTAGATCTGTAGTATCTAACCTGGCAGCCAGTAGCTGACTAATGGGTATTTGAGGGTGACTAGTCCAAACTGAGATGTCTATAAGCAAAAGCTATATTGGATTTCAAAAACCTCTTGGAGAAAATGTAGGATACCTCAATTTTTAAAATATTAATCACATTTTGAAATAATCTGAACATATTGGGTTAAATAAAATTCATTATTTTTACTTTTATATTTTAGATGCAGCCACTAGAAAAATTAAAATAATGTTGTGACATGTATTGTTTCATTGATTGGTGCTCTTCTAGATGCTTCTCTGTACATATACAAACACACATACTTGTTGTATGAGAACATATTGTCTTATTTATCTCTTTCCAAGTTTGTATCTGCAGATCTACATTATTCTGACTGTAATTATTAAAAACAGGGATGGCAGAGATAGGTCTGTAAAAAGATGGAAATTCGTAATGATAGAACAGAAATCCATTGAGGAATGAATTGGGGGTGATAGAAAATGATAATCTATAAAGAAATAAATACAGGTCTCTGAAGTTCTGAGTGATTTAAAATAAATACTGTGAGGTGAGGATTAGTGGTAAATCAAAAGACGATAATTTAAGAATATTAGAATCTGTAAGAGATTAAGGGAACTGGGGCTGGAGAGATGGCTCAGCGGTTAAAAACATTGGCTGTTCTTGCAGAAGACCCAGGTTCGAACCCCAGCACCCACATAGCAGCTAACAACTATCCATAACTCCAGTCCCAGGGGATCCAACAGCCTCTTCTGTCCTCCGCACAGGCATTGCATGACCCTAAAAAGAGATTAAAGGAATTGAGGAAAGACTAGGGAAAGAGAGTGGTACTGGAGAGTTTCCATATTGTCTCAACAATTAGGATCATATAGAATTTTTCCATGGTGATAAAGTCAAGGCCTTGAAATTTATGCTCATGAAATTGCCCCAGCAATTCCAGAAATTTATTTCCCCAGGATTCCAAAAGTTTCCTGTTGTCTTTGAGAGCGGTAAAGTTTCTCATTGGGAGCTTGAAATGACTCCCAGTGGATGCATTTCAATGTAGTAATTTCTGGGTCTCCTCAGCACATCTCAAGGCCTGACACTAATTGGAGACTAAGGGTCCCAAGGCATGCCAGTTGCTTTTTTCCTGGATCTTGGACAGCTGAACTTGAATAGGGGTAGATAAGTTGGCTACACTGGAGAGCCATGGATTTAATTCTCCTAGTGGGCCCTGTCTGTCATTCAGACCATGCAAACCTTAACAGCCTGCAGAACCTCAGGGCTCTGAGGAGGCAGAAAGCATTCAGATTCTTCTCGCCTAGAAACCTGGCAGTCAGCCAGGCAAAATTTTGAAGCCAGGCCAGCAAGTAAACTGCATACTTCTCAGTCCATTAACTCCTTAGCTTCTGAAGCCCACATGTATACTATATTTCCCCATTTTTATTCTCTTTTGTATAGGGTGCCTATTTTCCCATCTATCCTCTAATCCATTCTTTGTCTTAGGGGTTGATAGTACTTCCCCAGAAGAGTTAATTACAGCTTTAAACCCCTTGTCAGATAGTGATAAATGAATCCTTATTAGTAATCTATCCAGTTTCTTCCCTCCATTCTTCTATTGATTTTCATGCTAATTACTGATATTCTAATCTGCACTAATCTGTCTCTCGGTTCTCAGTGTTGTCATTTGGTTGGGAGACTTGAACTATAGACTTTGCATGCCTGATGCCAATGAGGTGAAAAGTCTTATTAACAAGAATGACCTTCAGAAGCTCTTGAAATTCGACCAGGTAAGTGAAGTTTCAATGGCAGAGACTGTTAAAATTATGAAATAGACACATGATTGGCATATCTTATTCATGCTAGGAAGAGATGGGAAGTTCATACTCTCTTACAAAATACTGTGGCTAGGGATGTATTGAGTATATGCAAGATTTGTAATGCATTAATTAAGTGCTTTGGTGAGGAAGATAATGTTGGTGATAAAAAGTAAATATAACATTTAGTAAGTTGTTATCAAGAAAGCAGATTTTTATGCTTGGGCTAGAGAATGGGTGGAGTTAATTGGAGAACACTTCCTGGAGGAAGTGGGCCTTCAGCTATGTTGATGTGGTTTGGCAGATAGAACAGGGAAAATTGTTCTAAGATAACTTGGCAGGCTGAGCCACAGCCTGGAGGTAAAACAGGGGGGCCCTCGAGGGAGACTGGGAAGCTAAGAAAAGACATTTGTTGGGGATGAATAATCTAATGGGAACTGATTGATAAGTTAGAGTGAACTGGTGTTTAGCTGTTGATGTTAAGACCAGTGGAAAAGGCTGGGAAAATGACTCAGTGGATAAAGTGATTGCTGTACAAGCATGAGGACTTGAGTTGGGATCCCTAACACCCACATAAAAAGCCAAGCATTGGCATCTGTATCCCCAGCTCTGGGGGGTGGAGACAGGTAGATCCTGGAGGCTTGCTGGCTAGCTTAGCCCAAACAGTGAGCTGATTCCATGAGAGATCCTGTCTCAATGAGGTGGAGGGGCTGGAGAGATGGCTCAGTGGCTAAGAGCACTGGCTGCTCTTGCAGACAACCCAGGTTTCATTCCCAGCAATCACATGGTGTCTAATGACCATCTGTAACTCCAGTTCCAAGGGATCCAATGCTGTCTTCTGACCTTCAAGGGCATTGAATGCATGGGTACACTTACTTACATGCAGGGAAAACACTCATGCACATAAAATAAAAATAAATAATTAAAAAAAAATAAAGTGGAGAAGCAATTGAAGAAAACATCCTGACATCACCTTCTGGCCGCCACACATTCTAGCACAGACAAGTTTCTCTCTCTCTCTCTCTCTCTCTCTCTCTCAACAACTGTGGAAAAAGCATTGATTATATAACATTAAGACAAACTCTGAATAGGGCATGGTGGCATAAGCCTTTAATCCCAGCACTCAGGAGGCAGAAGCAGGCATATCTCTGTGAGATCGATGCCAGCCTAGTCTGCATAGTAAGTTCCAGGCCAGCTATGACTGTAGGGAGACCCTGTCACACACAAAACAAAAAACAACAACAAAAAGAGACAAACTGATATTCAGGAAGCCAGTCGCTATGTATGTAAGGCAGTAATATTGGTCTCCAGACCTGGTAATTTTTATTTTCACATGTTTATTTTTCTTTTTGAATTAAAATGTCAAAATGAAGCCTAGTCTGACCTGGAACTAGCTGTCTGACTTATGGCTGGCCTTGAACTTGTGATCTTCCTGCCTCTACTTCTTTAGTTCTTAGATTATAGGCATGTACCTGTAATCTTGCTCTTGAGTTTTTATTTCACCATATAGATGCTGACCAATAAAAGTGAATGCTTGCTTATTTTATTTCTCTGATTAACACATTAATTGTACACAGTTATGGTTTGTAATGTGACATATCAGCACATGTATGCAGAGGACAGTAATCAGAACCAGCTTCCCAGAGCCGAGGATGTAGAGGACACTTTCGTAGCCTGTGCAGCAGTGCTCTGGGTTCCATCTAAGCACCATAAAAACCCTCCAGCTTCCCTTTATGCATCCTAGCCCCTCCATCACAGTTTCCAGTAATTACTATTCTACATTCAGGCTTGCATTTTTGACTTTTATATCTGAGGGAAATTATGACATTTGCTTTCTGTGTCTGATTTATTTCATTTAACATTAATTATCTCTATTCCACCCATTTTGCTGCAAATGACAGGATTTTATTCTTGTTTGTGGCCAAATAATATTCCACTGTGTATATATACCACACTTTTTTATTCCAGTCATCTGTTAATGGGTACCTTTGTTGACCCCATATCTTAGCTATTTTGATGAATATTGGCACAATAAACATTGGCGTGCAGGTATCTGTTTGGTGTACTGATTCCACTTCCTTTGATTATGTACCCAGAACAGCATGAAAATGCCATGAAAGTAAATGCTTCTTAATGAGGAAAGACAGTGTAATGTTTTGACTTGATTCAAATGTCTTTAAATCCTTATAAGAAGTTTTTGACCTTTAGCCACAGTCAAAATTGAGGTGTTTTACAACAGAATCATTTTTAGAGTAAGCCTTTTTTGGCTGTCCACCTTCATAGTGAACTTAAATGGTTCATTTCTTTGCATTTTTTCCTCTTTACTGCCTCTAAAAAGGGTACAAGTGGGATAACTTTTGAGTCTTATGTAACTCTAGTAAAATATTTTTGCGAATATCTGATATTCAGGAAGCTAGTCCCTACATATGTAAGGCAGTATATTGGTCTCCAGACCTGGTAATTTTTATTTTTGCATGTTTATTTTTTAAAATAACTTACAGGGCTGGAGAAATGGCTAAGTGAGTAAAAGTACTCACTTCATGTTTGCTTTGTAAGCATGAAGACCTCAATATGAATCCTAGTACCCACATTAAAAGCCACACATGGCCACATGCAACTGTACTCCAGCATCATGGGCAGAGAGTAGGGAGGGTGGGGTTTGGGGTTGAGACAGGATGATCACAAGGGTTGGCTGGCCACTAACCTAGCTCCAGGTCCAATGAGAGACCCTGTCTCAAAAGAATAAAGCAGAGAGTGATAGAACAAGACACCTAATGTCCCCTCACACCTCTACCTATGCATACACAGACATACACACCTGCACATGCACATGCTTGTAAAACACACAGACACAGACACACACACACGCACACATACACGCACTACTCATAGGTATACATTGACTCGTTTTTAGATTTTATTTTTAATTATGTGTGTGTGTGTGAGTATGGGTTTGTGTATGTGAGAGCAGTGCCTGCAGAGGCCAGAAGAGGGTATCAGATCCTCTGGACCTAGAGGTAAAGGTAGTTGTAAGCTGGCCAACATCAGTGCTGGGAAATGAACTGGAACCTCTGGAAGATCAGCAGTTGCTCTTAACCACTGAGCCATCTCTACAGCCCACATTCACTTACAGTGTAGAAAAAAACTATACACACTAAAATTGGTCTTGGAAATTATAGTTTCAAGGTCTGTGGGCTTTTTGTCTTAAATTGTGCTAGATGGTTCCTGCCCAGTTCTAAGCAATGCAGAATTATTCTCAGTTCATGTTTCTATTTTGTTCTGGCCACAAAGAGCAATAGAAAAATTTAGCAATGTGTTAATACTGTTTTCTGAAGATGAGGTCAGATGTTATGGGGACACTGACATTGAATTTAAAAGGCAGAAAAATCTTACCTATGTATTCTCTCACAGTTGTAAGAGCTATAAAACTGAATACTTTGGAAGGGAACAGTAGCTAATCAGCCTAATCATCACTCATGTTAATACAATGTTATTGTGCTTATATGATGTTTCTTTCTATCTGTAGTTAAACATTCAGCGCACACAGAAAAAAGCTTTTGTTGACTTCAATGAAGGGGAAATCAAGTTTATCCCTACTTATAAGTATGACTCTAAAACTGACCGATGGGATTCCAGGTAAAGTGAAAACAGCCTTCTCACAGAAGAGCTTGAGACTTGTTCTTCCCTGCGTCCTTCTTGGTCCCTTCTAAAAGGCTAGGGATTTGTTTAGATTATTCCGTAAATAGAGACAAAAACCTATTCAGTACTATTACTGAAGGCTTTAATTGTTAAATATTCAAAGTAAGTGTATGTTAGCAGAGTATTAATTATATGTCAGGGCTGGTGGTATTTTATGAACTGCCTGCAATACCTTGTTCCTGTCACCTCTGTAGAGTGGCTTCGAGTTTTATTTTCCCAACCTTCCCCTTCTCTGTTGTCTATTGCTCTCTCCTCCCGTTTCTCCCAAACTGCTTCTCAGCTGTTTTCACTTCATACACCAGAAGGTGAAAACAAAGAGCCATAAGAAGTTTTTCTAGCATAATAATTCTTGGTCCTGAGAACACATTAGAATCCATTGGTGAGGGACTGGAGAGATGTTTCAAGGTTAAGAGCACATGCTGCTCTTTCAGAGAACCCAATTCCAGCTCCAGGGCATCTCACGCCCTCTTCTGGCCATCATGGTCACCTGCACACATGTGCATATTCACACACACACACACACACACACACACACACACACCTGCATACACATAATTTAATTTTTTTTATCTTAAAAAAAGAAATCCTGGGCTGGAGAGATGGCTCAGAAGTTACTGACTGCTCTTGCAGAGGACCTGGGTTCAATTCCCAGCACCCATATGGTGTCTAACAACCATTCATAACTCCAATTCCCAGGAATGTGGCACCTTCTTCTGACCTCCGTGTGTATTGTACAACACAGGTGCAGTTATATACATGCAGGCAGTATACTCATACACATTTAATAAAAAGAATAAATGAAATATTAAAAGTAATTTTTAAAAATTTTAAAAAGGATCCATTGATAAGCTTTTAGAAGTCCTGGTGTCTGGGACCCACACATGCTTCCCTGGAGAAGGCAGAATTACTCCCTTGGAGTCCTTTTGACTTCCTAATTTCCCCAGGAAAGTAGCCTTGCAGGAATTCCTTGGTAACTGCTTGTCCTTTACCTACTCTTTCTTTGTTTTCTATGGTTGCCTCGCTGGCTGAAAAACTTGAAAGACAAAGAGAATCCCTGGGCACACTCAGCTGCCTCAGACTCTGAGAGCTCTGGGGGGAGGGGTCTATGTTCCTGTGTTCCCAGGGAGCCAGTCAGCAAGTGGAAAGGCACACTGATGGGCCTTGTTTACTTTGCCTTGTTCCTCCCACCTACTGATAAGGAATATTTGGGTCACCTACTAGATCAGGTGTACAGGGGCATGCCTTATATTAATGAATGATGAATAGGTTTATCTTTCTCGATATTTTATGGCCTATTCTGTAAGCAGACTTGCATGCATACATGTTAGTTCCTCTCCTTCAGAAGAATCTAGATTTGTTCATGAAAGTCCAAGTTTAAAAGAGAACACTTTACTCTTCTCCGGAGATTAAACCCAGTCTATGAATACAGGATTGCAGTTTGGGACTCAATTAATCTATTTTACAGTGTACAGTACGATTAAGTTCATAGAGCAAAGGAACAGCAAATGTTAGAACAGAATCTTGACCTTATAAGGATATTTTACAAAGGTACTATTATATTTCCCCTGTGGTGACACTGTTGAAAATACAGACCTAAATTTAGGAAACCCGCTTATTCACTCATTAGATAATTATTTATTAGGCACATACTTTGTACAAGATACTTAGTGCATGGGGTTCAGTGGCAGACAGGCAGACACAGACAGTATCAATGCTTGCAGTGTAGGGAAGAAGATGGGGTCGTTCCAGAAGGGACATTTAAGAGAAGGGCCTAACCCAATTTCAAAACCAATGTGTATTATAACATTCTTGTGTACTGTGTTCTGTTTGTGACTTGTTTCTTTATTTACAGTGGGAAATGCCGGGTTCCAGCCTGGTGTGACCGAATTCTTTGGAGAGGAGCAAATATTAATCAACTTCATTACCGGAGTCACATGGAACTGAAAACCAGTGACCACAAACCTGTTAGCGCCCTATTCCATATTGGGGTAAATACTTCTTTGCTCATTTATTTTTGTGTTAAGTAGCTATTTCTGGAGCATTGTGTTGACACAACACAGGTTAGTAATCCAGCGAGCCATAAATGTTCTGTAAACAAATAAATATTTGCAGGTTTGAGAGGTTAGTGCCTTCAACCTTCCCAAATGTCCTTCTTAAATCTCTTCCTGTACCTGGCTTTTCACATACAGGTATCTTATGCCACATAGGCAAAGACTGATCAGAATATGATCAAACCTATGCATTACCTTAGGAGGTATAGTCACATCCCTTCTACATGGAAATCTTCCTTTTAAACAACATACGTTTTATGTTTTTCTTAAACTTGGTTCCATCCTGGGCTGACTTTATAGCTGGCTATTTAATGTTTTGCCTCTATTGTGAATAGTTTTTTTCCTATTGTATTTTTTAGCTGTGTTATTAGTGTGTAGATTATCTTACAATCTTCTAATTTACTACAGCCAGTATATTTCTAATATTTCTTGTGGGTTTTCCACACTTGTGGTCTTGTAACCTATCAGTATATAACTAGTATAGTGCTTAATAGGATGAACTTGATAGTCAACTGCTTGGATTTGCATTGCACGTGAGCCACCTTTAATTGTGAATGTACAATTGATTGGCTGTCCCTATGCTTCAGTCTCCTCCTCTACAGTATATCTACAATGTATACTCATATTGGTTTCTACTCATGGAGATTAATGAATTCATTCATGCGAAGGGCACAGTGTGACAGATTTTTTGTTGTGTATTTCAGTTTGGGAGTGGGTGCTGATATAGGTATCATCAGTGTGTCTTATCCAGGCTCCTCTTTTTTTGTTTCTTTAAAATTTTTATTTATTTTTATTTTATGTGTATGAGTGTTTTGACTGTATGTAAGTGCACCCATGTTGTACAATACCCACAGAGGCCAGAAGAGGGTGTCAGATCCCCTGGAACATGAGTTACTGATGGTAGTTACTCATGTGGTGCTAGGAACTGAACCTGGGTCCTCTGCAAGAGCAGCATGTGCTTTTAATCAGTGAGTCATCCTCCAGCCCCTCCTTTCTGCTTTTTTAAAGAAGAATGACTTTAGGGTATTTCCTTGAGAAATAAAATTAGGTCTTCATCTTAGAATATATCTTAAGTTTCTGCAAGGCAACCAATGATTTTGTTTTTTGTCTTTTTAGAAATTTTGTGTTGCAGAGTTGTAGTTTTTGATTGTGATGCTTGGGATCAAATACAGGATTTTGTGCCTGTCACTGAACTATACCCCTAACCCCCATTGTGAAATGTTAACATAATGGTGATACTAACCTTGTGTTTGATTCCTACCATTACATATAGCAGTCAGTAGCTTTGTGCAGGCAAAGTGTGCACATCATTTATTCCCCCATAACAATGCTCACCGAAATATTTCCCATTTCACAGATGAGCAGATGAAGAGCCAGGGAGTTTGAAAATGGCTTCTTTGAGAGGTTCAACTAGAAAGAAAGCTGAGATTCAAATCCTAAGTCTGATTAACTCCTAATTCTCTGCTCTTTCCACTATTCCAGAATGGCTTAGTAGTTCTAATGTACTTACTGACTAAATATGTCTTCAGAAACTGCTTTTAACCCATCTGATTGTACTTGCAGGATGTCTTCTTCATTTGAATCTTCTTAATCCATTTCAAGAGGATATCTCTTCTCAAACACTGGCTTCCGTGGTTTAATCCATATGCTTGGCTCTTTTGTTTATATTTCTTTTCTGAACCTTGAAATATTTTTAGTACTCCACACACATTAATCCTGAGCTCCCAGTGGGATATGATTAATTTTTTGAGGGTTCATTATATTCTGCTTTTCTGGTTTTTAATGATTGCAAATTGTATAATAATTTAAAAGAGCTTTTGGGGGGAGCAGGCTAGATGACTTAGTGGGTAAAAGTACTCTCCATTGAGCCTGATGATCTGAGTTTGATCCCTGAAATCCACATGCTAGAAGAAGAAAACTTACTCCTGCAAGTTGTCCTCAGACCTCCACAAGTGTGTCATGGCATGCATGCGTGCATGGATATGCATGGATACACACACACACACACACAGAGAGAGAGAGAGAGAGAGGTACAGGCACATGCACACACAAACACACACAAAATAAACATTAAAAATTAAAATTGATTTGTCTTTAAAATAAAGATCTAAGTGGAATTTACATATAAGGCTGATGTTCTTCAGTAACTGTCATGTCTGAGTTTCAAATTTGCCTACTTCCCAGCCAGGCCAACACCACTTATGAATATTTGTCTTTCTAAACTAGTATCATCCATTGAGCCTTACCTGGTGATGAAAATGTCCTGTATCTGTGCCACCCAGTTTAGTGGCTTCCACCTACAGGTGACTGTTGAACACTGGAAATGTAGACAATGCAGCTAAGAATCGAATTTTTAACTGTTTAACGTGTAGTAATTTAAATGTAAATGTCCCTGTGTGGCTAGTGACTACCATATTAGATGATATAGTTCTAGACTTCTGTATATGCCTTTCTGTTTACCCATAGACAAAATACTTTTGCATGTAGGTGTGTATATTGTAAATGGTCTCATACCATATGTATTAATCTGAAATTTGCTTATAATGTTTAATAGCTCTCAGAGAGCTGTCCATGTTACTACATCAAGATCTAACTCATTGTACTTTTTTTCTGAATTCCCAATGTTGGAAATTTTCTTTTCTAAAATGAATGTATCAGGTGGTAAAATTCTTTGGTTTTTCTCTGTGTTATTATCCTTGATGGCCATTAAATAGTGTTAATCCACCAAGAAAAGTTATGCTTTTCTTGAGTAACCACGTCATAGTTTGGACTCTTAGGCATGCCATGATTAGAGGCTTTAAAACCCTCATTATACTTGAACCACCATTGGCCCCAATGACTGTTAGCGAAGGAGCCAAATGTTGTACAGCCAGTAATTTCCGAAGAATTGCTGTGGGCTGCCTGAGAAAACTCAAGCTGAGTTTTCTGCCCCTGCATTTGGTTCTGTGGTCTATTGTACTGGTTCTCAAATTCTAGTGGAAATAACTAGTGTCTGAAGAACTTTGAGAAAAGTATGGAGATCTGAACCCCACCCCTCAAGATTGTGATTGGTAGGCTCGGGCACCTGTAATTTTAAACCTTAGCCAAGTTGATTCTGTTGCACACCTGGTCTTTTGAAAGGATCCATCCACATAGTGCTACAGAGCTCATCTCACCTTTGATTTTAGCTATGTCAATGAGCAACTTAGTTGATCTTCCATATCTTTTGTTTATTGAGTTTTTGTGAATTTCATACAATATATTTAAATCATATTTAGATTCACCTCCATTATCATTCCCTTACTACCTCCCGGCCAATTTCATGTACTGCATTATATATAATATACATATGTATTTATATATTATATATAATATACATACATATATATGCCTATAGAGTCAAATTTCTGTCCCTAAATGCCCTTCAGAGTGGGTCCATCAACTGGAGCTGGGTCAACCTACCAAGAGTCTCACCCTTACAACTGCCGTCTGTTACCAATAGTTCCTTGGTCAGGGTTGGGGTTTCTTACCCACCTCCCCATATCTATACTGGGATTTTGTCTGGCTTGAGCTACATGGGACTTGTACATACCATCACCATTGCTGTGAGTTCATATGAGTAACTGCCTAGCTGTCTGGAAGACTCTGTTTCCCTGTGGTCATTCACTACCTCTGGCTCTTGCAATCTTTCCACGCCCTCTTTCATATCTTGATTTTCTCAACTGTCAGACTGTTCCTTGCTTTTAAGCCTTTGCAGTTGTGAAAATACTTCTTTAATCCCAGCACTTGGGAGGCAGAAGCAGGTGGATCTCTGTGAGTTCAAGGCCAGCCTGGTCTACATAGTGAGTGCCAGGACAGCTGGAGTTACAGGGAGACCCTGTCTCAAAAAAAAAGTAAAGAAAAACTCACAAAATTTTGTGAAAGTGTAAAAGTCATCTTAACCTAACACTGTGTATAGTTTGGACCCTGGAAGGACTAAAGTGATCTATCCTCAGTACAGTTATGGCTCAAATATGTTTAATAAACAAAGCCCTCCCCTGTCTATTTGGCTCAGGTATTTTCAGCATCTGCTTTTAGAACCTTTGCTGTCTGTATACATGAATCTCCTTCAACATGGACTTTGCGAAATATTCTACCATGGAGAGGAAACTGAAGTCTCAACATAAAACTGATATATTCCTTATGCTAATTTGTGATATTAGTCTGTATGAAGTTGTAATATTTAAAAATTACAACTATATCAAAAAGTTGGAAATGCTGTGCCAACTGAAAGATTTCTTTTTTAATTTTTATTTTTTGTCTTTTTGAAGCAGGGTCTCCCTGTAGCCCCAGCTGTCCTAGAACTCACTATGTAGAGCAGGCTGGCCTTGAACTCACAGAGATCCGCCTGCCTCTGCCTCCCAAGTGCTGGGACTACAGGCATACACCACCACACCCGGATCTAATTTTTATTTTTTTATCTACTAGCACAAATGACTTGTTGGTTGTCATGGTTTTAGTCTATGATGTTTTGTGTTAGTCTTTTTCTAGAATGGCCGTAAGCTCCATTTACTAACACTGTACCTTGGCTGTTTGTTATCTGAATGATGCTCTGATTCCTGGCTGTGCCTAGTAACTAATGGATGTAAATACTTTAATCATATTTCTGCAGTTCCACTACTCTATTAAAAACAGCTATCAATATATTTTAACCCTATCATTTTATACAATGTAAGAAATCATTTTTACCACAATATTGTCATCCCACCAAATAATTTATCAATGGGGCAAGGAAATAGTCTTTTCAAAAATATACTGTTAACAAGTTTCTTTTTTTTTTTTTTTTTTTTTTTTTGAGACAGGGTCTCCCTGTAGCCCCAGCTGTCCTGGAACTCACTATGTAGACCAGGCTGGCCTTGAACTCACAGAGATCCGCCTGCCTCTGCCTCCCAAGTGCTAGGATTAAAGGCGTGTGCCTTCACGCTGGGCTAGCAAGTTTCTTAACTTAAAGATTTCACTTTTCCAGAAATTTAGCCAATTAATGTTACCTTTTCCTTAAGGTGTATGTTTCTATAATGCTTATAAATTTAGCTTGTTTGTTTAAGTGGCTTTTAAAATTTTGTTAGTGACACTTGGAGACAGACCAGTTGAGAGCACACAAGACTAAATAAAGATTATTTTCTTTCAGGTGAAAGTTGTGGATGAAGCAAGATACCAAAGTTTTTGAGATCATTGTTCATACCACACTTTATTGTAGATGATTTCTGTAACAACCCATTTTCAATTACTATATAGTCAAAGAGATAAGCTAGGAGTGTGCGGAACTGAAAATAATGTTCATTCTCTTTTAGGTGAAGGTTGTGGATGAACGGAGATACCGGAAGGTCTTTGAAGATATTGTGCGCATTATGGACAGGATGGAAAATGATTTCCTTCCTTCTTTAGAACTCAGTCAGAGGGAGGTGAGCAAAAATATATGGGCTCCTGTCTACTGTCTTTTGTAGGTAACACAAGGGAGACTGTGTTACTCAAGAAGATATCGCGGTTAAAATCATCTCTACTGGTGTCAGATTGCCTCTAGTCTAGTCCCAGCTTTGCCAAGTAGTAGATGCAGAGCCAAAAGAGGCACCTTACTTACCCTCTCAGACCTGCAGCTTCCTCTTCTGGATTAAGTGGCAATTGTAAGGGTTACATGAGTAAATACATGCTAAGCTCCTGGACAGCACCTGGCACCTTCTCAGTCCTCATATTTGCCACTGTTCTGAGGGAACAGAACTTGGTAACAGAATGAGCACCCTGGACCAAGATCATGTTACCCTTAGGATCCCATGAACAATCAGAATAGCTTAGATAACAATCAAGAGCCACCTATCACCTTCTCTGCTGGTGTTAGTTTAATAATGTATGAAAGTCGATGATGTGAAGTTGTCTCAGTCGGTAAATACATATGGCAGTTACGTAACTGGTTGATCATTACCTTATTCTTTATCCATATCATCTATGGAATACTCTAACTGACTTACTTCCCCTACTAGTGATGCATGTCTGTGTCTGTCTGTTATTCCCCAGTTTGTGTTTGACAACGTGAAGTTTCGGCAGCTACAAAAGGAGAAATTCCAGATCAGCAACAATGGACAGGTTCCCTGCCATTTTTCTTTCATCCCTAAACTTAATGACAGCCAATACTGCAAGCCATGGCTTCGAGCTGAACCTTTTGAGGGATACTTGGAGCCAAGTGAGTTTTCCCTTTACCCATGTATCCACTTGCCACAGACCACCTCACTAGGCTCCCACCACCTTGATTTAACTTCTTGTTTTCTAACCACATGTCTCTCACCTTTACTGTCATTGTATTGGTGATAGCACTGTTGTGTGTCCCATCTCTTCCCTGCTTGTTGCTTGGTGACTGCTTTTTAGAGGACATTCATTCTGTCAGTTCTACTCCTTTTGCTGGTCCACTGGAAGTTTCTGTGTTACAGTGTACCATCTCTTGCATTTCAGATGAGACTGTGGACATTTCTCTTGATGTATATGTCAGCAAAGACTCTGTGACCATCCTGAACTCAGGGGAAGATAAGATTGAAGATATACTTGTCCTTCACTTGGATAGAGGCAAAGATTACTTCTTGACCATCAGTGGGAATTACCTTCCAAGTTGCTTTGGGACCTCTTTAGAGGCTTTGTGTCGAATGAAAAGACCAATCCGAGAAGTTCCTGTCACCAAACTCATAGACTTGGTGAGAAGCATCCTAAGGCATAAACCTTCTTTACATATAATTTGCACAATTCGTCTTCATTATTTCTGTACTTTTGTTCTTCTTCTGGGGTCAGGGGAACTGACAAGTGATGTGGAAGAATGCCACTTTGTCCTATCACTACTTTGATTAACTTAAGCCTACGAGGGAAGAGGAGACAATAATCCATAGCTACCTCTTGTTGGGACTATAATAGATAATACTGTGCTTCCAAAGTAAGATTAAAGGTTCCCCTCTCAAAGCTCTAATGCTTATTTGTTAAGCTCATCATAACCTCAAGTCACTTCCATATAAATCAGTGTGTGCACTAAGTGTAGTAAGTGCACCATGCAGTATTATTCTCATTCTGCATATGAGGAATCTGAGGCCCAGAGGGATTCATCTGCCCATAGTCAAGTAAGTTAATGACAGATCGCTCACCCAGATTTTCTGACTTGTACTCCAGTATTCTCTCTACACTATATCAATTCACAGTAAAGCTTTGTTGCTTCTGAGAGCACAGACCTAGCTACAGTAGAACCTTCGAGAAATTGCATCATAGTCCCTAGTTCCCCTGTCCCCTGCCCCCCCGCAATTCACCTCTCACAACAGAATCTCAAGATGGAGAGCCTATCAATCTTCATTTTATTAACATCCCAGAAGATTTTTTTTATTCTTTTGAGACAAGGTTGTATGTGACCCAGGCTGGCCTCAGACTCATTGTGCAGCTAAGAATGACCTTAGACTTCTGATCCTCCAGCCTCCACCTCTCAAGTGTGCGATTCGAGGTTTGTGCCACCATGTCTGGTTTATGCATTGTTGGGGATCAAAGCCAGGGCTTCATGCATACTAGGCACATACTCTGCCTACTGAGCCACAACCCCGGGTTCCAGATGGCTATAATGTACACTGAGGCTTGATGTTTACTTATGTGACTGAAGAAAGGAAAAGAAAATTATTTCCTCCCTTTTCTATGTCAAAATAATATATCAATATTCATATGACAGAAAAGTATATTATTTTCAGTAAAAACTTGATTTATAATAAGTTCATCCTATTAAGAACTTTTTCTGTAAATGCAACTGTTCTTGAATTAATATGTAGGATGGGACTACAAAATTTTATTCTTTTTTTCCCAAAGAAAATGAAGTTCAACAATAACTGAACATTATCATTTGTGTAAGTATTTACTTTGGTCTTTTGGCCCAGCCAGAGCAAGTGACTGTATCATCCAGCAGGGTGGGTTAATCCAGGGAGCAGACTGCTGGCTTGTCTGAGTGTGATCTGTTCCACTGCTGTGCAGTTGTACCTGAGACTCAGATAGCAGATTAAAGCACTTAGCATTCTATTTCTTCCCCTGAAGCTCTGATTGAGGGTTTCACCTTTGTTTGAAAGAAAATAATTTTCTTTCTAACAGAAATTCATATCCTGCCATTCTGAGATTTCTCTGAATTGTTTTTCTTTTCCCACCATACTCTTGTTTCTCAAATTTAGTGTTTCACCTTTTAGAATACATTTAATGTGATTTTTTCTACCTCCATCCTTTCGTCTCAAACACTGCTTCCTAGCATTCTTTGCTCCTAGTTTTTATGAAAACCATAAAATGTGTGAAAAAAAAATCGAAGAAAAATACAGTGAACTCCCACATGCTTTAGATGCACACGATTTGTCATACCATTTTAAATTAAGTGGTAGTGTATCAGATATTCAACACTAAACACTTCAGCCTATATCTCTTAGGAAAAAGGACAAACTTGTACATACATGCAACACCATTATTGCACTTGGAGGAAACAGTCATCTGTAGTACATCTAATGTCTAATTTATATTCATATTTTTCCAATTGTGCCAGTAATTTCTTTATAGCTTTAAAAAAAACATGCAATCTTGGTTCATGCAGAATACCTGGTAAGGTCTTTGTAGTATCTTTCCAAGTACAGCAATTCTCCATTGCTTTCTTTAGTGTCATTTGCTTTTTAAGAGTCCAGTACAAGGGTCTATCATTTCCTCAATTTTTATAGCTACAACTTCTTGGTATTTTTTAACTTATCTTTACGTACTCTCTCTTCACCTTTGATTTCCTTTAAAGTAGGCCATAGCTTATTTTTGTTAAAGTCTATAGCAGCATTATAGCATTCTTTGCATATTTTTCCATATTCTGTGACTAGTCAAAAGGGGCTCAACCAGGTTTAAAAGGTCTTATTCTATATAAAATGTATTGTCCAGCAATTCTACTGCATTTATCCATAAATAGAAAGTAGCTAAAACCCATCAGAGGAATCAATGGCTCCATAGAAAGTCCTGTTCCTTCTTTAGTGCATAATTGACTCAAGGTTAAAAAAAAATAGAACCTTGGAGAATTGCTGAGTCTGTATTAATTTTATTATTTTGTAGTATTTAGAGTCTTCATTCTTTTAATAGTTTGTTACATTTCAGATTATTTTTAAATTTTATTTTATGTATACGAGTGCCCACAGATGTCAGAAGAGAGCATCAGATTTCCTTGGAACTGGAGTTATAGATGGTTGTTAACCCCCCATGTGGGTGCTGGGAATCAAACCCAGGTCCTCTGCAAGAGCAGAGGCTCTTAACTGCTGAGCTAACTCTCCAGGCCACATTTCAGTATTGTTAAATTACTATAGCTCATTGATGAAGTTCTCCATATTGTTGTGAGGCAATAGACGGGAATATAAAATCATCAGTGCCCCATTCTGAGCACCTTTCCACTTGTTTCAAAACTCTGAAATATTTCTTGAGGTCTCATATTCATTCATGCTTTTTCAAGACCCAACAGGATATTTCAAACCCCACAAGTCAGTGACATTAATATTGAAACATGTCTTCTACTGTCTTATGTGCTGTAAAATCATGGTGAATGCAGAAATGAGTTCAGTGCATAGTCTGTGTGTCCATGTACTCTTTCAGAAAGATTCTTGTGTTATGCTTTCTTCCTACCACTGGCACAAGTCCTTTTCTTTCTTCTAAGTATCCTCAATAACAGTAACTCTACAACTCCTAGAATAGTTAAGATTAGCATAAGAGGGAGACAGATGACAATTATTTGCTATTATAATTATTTTTATTTTATTTTTAATTCTTTTCCATACTTAAGATCCATCTTTCTACTTTATGAAATAACATGTTAACTAGCAAATAATTAGCAATATTTATGTAGTACATACTGAATATAAAGTAGTTTGGAGTTTATGTGGCTTTCTCTAATTTATTGATCATGAAAGTATACTTGCATGTACAGTATAGCTACATTCTAAACCATACTGAATAGAAAGTTTAGAGATAATTTGAACATTAATGATTTCTATTGACTAATGTCCGCTATATTTGGTAAGTCAATATTTGAGGAAATGAGTGTTATAAAGAATGTATTAACAATTGAATTCTTTCCTGCACAGTTTCTCAGGTCCTTATACACTATAAAAGCTTATTGATTGACCAGGTAATCTCAGTAAAATCAATCTCAGAATCAGCCTATTTTTACCTTAATGGATATTTGATGTTTATAACACTAATGTGATCTAGAAATAAGTTCAGTACATAAGAATAAAGTTAGAAAAGTGATTTGGGGTTCATCATAGATGTTTCCTCCGATACACAAATACATGTTTCTTAAGTACTCTGAGTCAATTCAGAGTACTTAAGAAACATGTATTTGTGTATCGGAGGAATAGGCTCTTCCAGGAGCAAGGGACATCTTGAGTAAAGGATGCAAAGTGAAAGGGAAAAGAACATATGTGGAGAATTATAAGATTTTCCTGAAAGGAGTGAAGGGGAAAGAGATGTGTGCGTGTGTGTGTGTGTGTGTGTGTGTGTGTGTGTGTACACATGTGTGCATGTGGAGGCCTGAGGTTAATGTCCAGAATCATCCTCCATGGCTCTTTCACCTCATTCATTGGGGCAGGGTCTCTCAGTGAAACCCAAATCTTGACGATAATGCTAGTTTTGCTAGCCAGCTTGCTCTGAGGATCCCCTGTCTCTGCCTTCCCAGACTGGAATGATAGGTGGGTCATCACACCCACCCAGCATTTACAGGGTTCGTGGAATCTGAACTGTAGTCATCATGCCTGCACAGTTCTTTTAATTCTTTCAGAGTTTTCTCTTTTATTCATTCTTCATTTTGGGGGTACTGGGGCTGGAACCCAAGGCTTCATTCCTGCTAAACAAGCATTCTACCATTGAGCAGCACAGCCTGACGACCCACTAACTTAAAATACATTTTTTCCTTGAATTGGATAGATGGCTCTGCAGTTAAGGACACATACTGCTCTTAGAGAGGACCTGAGTTCTGTTCCCAGCACCTATACTCAGATATCTCACAACCACCTGTAGCTGTAGCTCCAGGGGATCCAACTCTCTCTTCTAGCTCTGAAGACCCCTGCACACACATGAATACACATAAATAAAAATTGTTGGGGGCTGGAGAGATGGCTCAGTGGTTAAGAACACTGGCTGTTTTTGCAGAAGACCCAGGTTCGAATTCCAGCACCCACATGGCAGTTAATAACTGTCCGTAAATCCAGTTCCAGGGCATCTGATGGCCTCTTCTGTCCTCTACAGGCATTGCACGACATGGGTACACTTACATATATGCAGGCAATATATGCATACACATAAAAAAGTAAATTGCTGGAAAAGTATTTACCCATACTAATTATTAAAATTAATTAATTTTATTTTGTCTCTGTGTGTGCTTACACCATAGTACATGTGTGGAGGTCAGAGGACAACTCTTGGAAATTGGTTCTCTCCTGTCATCTTGTGGTACCCAGGGATTGAACTCAGTCTACATGTGACCACCTCTCTCCACTCAGCCATCTCCCTGGCCCCATATTAGTTTTAATTTTTTTTATTTTATTTATTATTGTTATTTTATGTGTATACATGTATTGCCTGCATGTAGGTAAGTGCACCTCTGTCATGCAATGCCCACGGAGGTCAGAAGAGGCTGTCGGATCCCCTGGGACTGGAGTTACGGACAGTTGTTAGCTGCCATGTAGGTGCTGGGATTCGAACCTGGCTTTTCTGCAAGAACAACCAGTGTTCTTAACTGCTGAGCCAGTTTTAAATTTTTTAATATTTATTTATTCATTGTGTGTGTGTGTGTGTGTGTGTGTGTGTGTGTGTACGTGTACGCATCATGGTACATGTGTGGAGGTCAGAGGACAGTTTTGTGGTGTTAGTTCTCTCCTTCCACCATGTGGGTTCTGAGCATTTAACTCAGCTTGACAAGCTTGGCAGCAAGCACCATTACCTGCTGAGCCATCTCACATGCCCTCATATTAGTTTTAAGGTGTTTCTTCTCTCCTGCTTGGACTATCTTGATAGCCTTTTAATGTTTGCCATTACTTCTGTTTCTGCATTTCATTTTCTCCCACTCCAGTCTGTCAGATTGATCGTTGTATAATAGTGCTTTGGTGGAGGTGATCATTTCCTTGCTTAAAGGTAGTGATCAGTTCCCCCATGCCTGCTGAACACAATCCAAATTCCTTAACTTGTTATTTAGTGTCATTTGTTCCTCCCCGTTTTTCTGAACGTTCTCTAGTTATCTCACCTTAAGCTCCCCACAAACCACATGACAAAGTTCTTCTTAATCTCACCTTGTGCTTTAACTTTTCTGGCCTTTGTATATTTCTGCCTCCTCTACAGTTTTTAAGAGCATTGATGTCAGTATGTCATCCAGACTATCCCTGAACTCCTGAGTACCAATGCTCCTCCTGAGGAGCTGGCATGACAGGCTGCCCACTGTGTCTGGCTTGCTTCCATTTGTGATATCCCTTCTGATTTCTGTCCTTCAAAAGCCTGTGAATTGAGTGCTGAGACGTGTGGCTTGGTAGTAGAAAGTTTGCCTAGCATGCACAAGACCATGGGTCCTAACTCCAGTACTGGAAAAAAAGTTTTCTGTAGCTCTTTTAAGGGCTAGTAGCCATTTATTTGAAACTTGTATATATGAATTACAACAATTTCAGGCCATAAATTATGAGACTAAGGAGTATCCTGATTCAGTTGGAAACTATGGTCAGGGACCAACCACATCTTTCTTCTGAATGTTTCTTTATTTGCCAACTGCCCTCCTCCAAAGGTATTTAGCACCCTGCCTTGCACTGGCAAATGGTCCCCACCCACAGGAACTTCTTTCAGGGCCTGCTTTGACAGGAGAGTATGAAAAAATTCTGCCTAGTTTTCCTTGTCATATCATGTGTCATGTATTCAATTATAGGAAAAATATATCGTCTGTCAGATTTATTAACAAGTGTTCCTAAATTCAATAAATGATTATAATCCAAAGTTTTAGTAAATGAAATGTTGGGCACTCCGAATTAACTTCACATTTAAAAGTGTTGTATTTATAATGATATAACAGTATATACCCTATGAGTACTATTACTATTATTCTGACTACTTAATTTCACGTGGTATTTAGCTCTTGGTAAACTCACAAATGTATGTTTAATTCATATGTATCTAACAATACTAAAAGTCCTAATGTCCATATATAAGAACAGCTTGGGGAAATGGGTTCAGGATTACCACTTGGAATGTTGGGAACACATATTTCCCCCCTATCCCCAATTCCAGGGCTGCATACATCTATCTAAGAGGAAGATTGTGATTTCTTATACTTATCAGACCTAAAACGTGATCTGTACTTGATCTCTTGGTGGTCCATAGTGGGATTAGGAAGGACCCACTTGGGAGTCTCTGTGAATGTATATGCCACTCCCCGCTGGTTTTACATGGCTTCACTGTCCCTATGAGGAAAATATTATTTTGCCTGTTTCAGAGATGAAGAAACTGAGCCAATATGAAGTTTGGTAAATTGCCTGAAGTCTCCACAGAATCAGTAAGAGTCAGGATTTGTACCCAGGCCTGCCTAGATCAATGCCTATACTCTTTGCATTAACCATGCTGCCTTATAAGTAGGGTTTCTCAATGTCCTTAGCCAACTATAGAAAATACACTCTCACAGCTTTCCCCTACCTCTCCTTCCAGGAATCAATTATGTTGTTCTTTTTGAGTTGCCTAGGGGTTGTAGTGATAATGACTGGAATTAGTCAGACCTGGGTTTCTTTCAATCATGAGTCTGTCACTTACTACATAAGTACGACATTGGGTAAATAATTTCACCTCTCAAAGCCTCAGTTTCTTCATCTGTAAAATGGGAATAATACTTCACTCTTATGTGCAAATAAAGTGGCATTGTATATAAACACTTTGCACAGGGGGCAGGCAGATAAGCCTCCAGTGGAGGTGATCATCACTGCTGCTGTCACTCTCGTTGGGTTGTAATGACAGCAGTAATGGTAGGGAAGATTAAGAGTGCTGTTTCCCTTGCTTCTTTTTCTTTTATACCCACTGAGAAAACAAGAATAGGGAAACTGATAGATCTCCTGATCCAGAAAGCTCTGGGGCGAACCTCATTACCATTTCAGAAGAACCTCCAGCTCTGGGGAGTCTAGAGGTCTGTGAGGAGGTAGGTGGGTATGGGGAGATGGAAAGGACTCTTGGACCCTGCTCAGGAGGCTAGCTAGGATGAGGAGAACAGTGGAAAGGAAAGTCTGCTTCTGAATATCCACTGTCAGGCCCACAGCCAAGTTCTTGTACTGAGGTGGCATTATGGTGAGGTAAGAACTGCACTACAGCAGATAAACAGGAAGAGGCATTAGTGGGCATTTAACTGAGATCTCAGACAGCTGCCAGAGGGCGTAAAAATCTAGGCCTACACAAGGATGTTTCTTGAGTGATAATCTCAGGGAATGGCTTAACAATTTAATATGCATGATAAAGAACTTTGCATATGGAGAATGTATTCCATTTTCAATGATCATCATTTGAAGGATCAAAGCTTTTAAAGGCATTTATGTCTAATACTGAGCTGTTTCTAATAATTCCGTGAATTAACTCTAATCATTGTCTATCTGCCTATGACTTTTCTCCTGCTCTGCTCTCAGGAAGAAGACAGCTTCCTAGAAAAGGTAATTCAATCCACGGGTGCTTATGAAGGTTTCCTTGGGCTTGATTAACACATAACTGTGGTCCCTGGAACTTGTCCCTAGGCATTCCCATGTCTGTTACCTCTGATGCAGTGAGAATCCCCTAATACCATACTGTCCTGCTGGGTGTCTACAAGTATACTTGAAATACAAGAAAGATGTGTATACATCCTGTCAAGTTATTGATGCTAAGTACATAAAAGAAATACACCTCAAGGGTCCAGATGTTTTTAAAATAAAGTCTCATGTATCACAGGTTGGTCTCAAACTCACTATGTAGCATGGATGACCTTGACTTCTGATCCTCCTGCCTCCACCTCCCCAGTGCTGGCATTACAGTACTCCTGGTTTTATGTGGTGCTAGGGAATCAAACTCAGAGCCTTGTGCATACCGGATAAGCACTGTACCAACTGAGCTATAGCCCCAGCTTCTAGATGTTTTTGTGGTACAGGGAATAGAACCCAGGGCCTTACACGTGCTAGGCAAATATACTACCACTGACTACACCCCTAGCCAGATTTTCATTTTTTAATTACCAGGCAAGTGCTCTACCACTAAGCTACATCATAGACCCAGATCTGTCTTGATGTATTTCATGTGAAAGTTCATGAGTTGGAAGGTGCTATCTAACTGCCCCCATTTCCAAAGATAGTAAAACCAAACAAGCCCATTTCTGTTTCATTAAGAGTGATTTGGAGGCTGGGGAGATGGCTGTCAGAAAAGTACTTGCTCAAAAGCATAAGGACCTGAATTTAGATCCCCAGCACCCACATTTAAAAAATGGATGCAGTGGCACACATCTGTAACCCCAGTGCTGGGAGCAGAGTAAGAGGTAGGTCCCTGGAGTGTACTAGCTAGCCAAGTGTAGCCAAATCGATGATTCCATGTTCCATGAGAGAGCCTGTCTCAAAAATTTTTGGAGAGGATCTTGAGGAAAGACACCCAGTGTCACGCTCTGGCTTCCATATACATATATGCACACACAGGTACCAGCACTGACATGTTCATAATACACATAAATGTACCCCCCACAAACACCAAAAGAGTTATTTTGTGTCCTTAATAATAATAGAAGTTATTAATTATTCAGAATATTCAAGTATAGTCAAGAAATAGAGCATAAGGCAGAATTGTGGCACTAAATAGGATTATAAGAGATCATCTAATCCAGCCTTCTTCAGACATAGACAGGTATTTTCTGCATTCTAATAGACAAGATGCCCAAGGCCCAGAAAGGTGAAAATGCTGTGGAAGTCTCATTGCTCCAAAGCACAGAGGTGTGCAGTGTGGGCACTGTTTCCTAAATGTCCAGTGACTTGCTCCCACTGCAGTGCCTTACGACTTCTCTCTCCTCAAGTAGAGATGCCAGGCTCCACTCAGGACCACCAAACTCAGGTGCATGAGCTTGACTGATGTTCTACAGCACCTTACTCCAGTACCTGACAAAACTTCATCCTCTCCATTTGGTGGCGTTAAATGCATTTTGAGGGCGGAGATGCTTTAGTTATTATCATTAAGATCAACCAGACACAAAATGTGTCTTGTTGAAAGAAGGCAAAGTGCCTTAGTTTCCCTTTGAATATCAGAGTTCACTATAATGGGTGGAACTTTGTTGAGAAAAGTACTGTTTCCCGATTTTCTTACTGTATTCCTCTGTAGACTTCAGAGACACAAGCAGGACATTTTGTATTATCACACATAAATTTGGCAATGGATAGTAGATAGTATTTATAACCTACTGACATTTTATTAACCTTTTAAGACACTGAGATTTGAGACAGTTCTGCTTCCCAGCTCCTCTCTGTTAAGGGCAGTCCATGTTCTGTCTATTCACCTTAGACAGTGCCTTGTGTTTCCTTATGCCTCAGTACAGGAAAAACTTCAGTTGGATGTCAGATATTTTTGAGAGTACATGAGCCATTGCTGAATAATTTATATATAGTAAGTTTTGAGGCATCTGGTAAAGAATCTGTACATGTGTTATGTTTGATCCAGAAAGTTAGCAGAATGTATTATGAAGTGTTTGGGCTCAGATATGGGGTAGATGCCTGATATATATATATATATATATATATATATATATATATATATATCCCTCAAATGAAGTCAGTGGGTGAGCCACTCATAGAAGTTATGGCAGCTATACAGAATGAATATCAAGAGATAGCATCCCAGGGAAAGAAGGGAAATAGAGTAAATAGAAAAAAAAAAGAGAGTAAATGTGAAAAATCTATGTTGCTATGTTGAGAGCATTGCATTCCTCCTTCTCTTTATTCCCTTAAGGAGGCACAGCAACTTTGAACAATCATCAGTGCTTATTAAAGAGCATACTAAGAAGAGACCTCAGTGTTGCTGTAGTGTATGTGGTCTCTGCAAATATAGACAAATGTTTATTTTCTTTCCCTTAAAGTTACATGGTTGGAGGTAATGGATGAGACAGGCAGTTACATAATGTTGGGCAATTTCTGAAAGTTGGCCATATATAGTATATGACCTGGAGGTGAGGGAATGAAGAGAATATCAAAATATGAGCATGGTTTTCTCCACTGGAATTTTCTGAAGGCTCTCTTCAGATATTCTTTAGCCTGTTTTTAGATAATTTTTCATTTAATTTATACTTGAGTACATAAACTAAGAAAGAAGGATGATTTCTTTTTGAGTGTTGGGAGACAATTGTTTGTTTTCTACCTGTTTTTCAAGTTTGAATTTAGGTATTTGTGTAGTTTATGTCACTACCAGACTTTTGTCTTACATTCTTTCAGAAGAATCTAACAATGGAAAGGTAGGTCCAAGGAACAAGGGTTCCTAGAAATATTTGCTGAGCTGTTGAAATTTCTAGAAGGAGACCCTTGACTTTTCATGATATTTCTAGCTCTTCAGTTACCATATTCCATTTTATTACTTTTGGATCTTGAGGCTTATGATTAGGACCCTAAGATTAGAACTTTCATCAGTCCAGAAGTATCCATGTATGTGAATCAATGTGGAAAGTTGTCTTTAATTCCTGAGAATCAAAACAGTTTCTTTAAAGAAACAATGAAAATTACCAATGGTATCAAGTGGTAAGACCTGAAGAGTTAGTTTAAAGTACACTGATACCTAAGTGTAAACATGATCTCTCAGAGTACCATACTGACAATTGTGATTTAATGGTCCAGCCACAGATAGTATGTGTAGACACAACTGTGGCTGTATTGTGTTCATGCAGTGCCAGTTCTCAGTCACCCTTGAAGGGATGTACAATGCAGAACATAACCACAGGATGCACACCATAAGCTCAAATGAAAGGATTGGTGGTTCAATGAGTACAGATTTTCCCTGTGAGAAAAATGTAAAAGCTTAAAAGACAGAGATCCTATTGTACCCATACAACCAGATTTTAAAGATTTAAGTCTTTATTCTAAGGTCCTTTGATTCTCATCCCTTTTCATCTGTTAGGAGAAATCCCTTCTGCAGATGGTTCCCTTGGATGAAGGTGCCAGTGAGCGACCCCTTCAGGTCCCCAAGGAGATCTGGCTTCTAGTAGATCACTTATTCAGATATGCCTGTCACCAGGTAAGTAAGAGAAAGCCTTCTCTGCAACTTTAGAATGTGTGTGAGTCCTATAGGAAGTATAATATTTCACATCAGTATAATGCTTTTAATTTTACCAAGCTCCCTGCAGCCTCACTGTCAGACCTCTGAAGCATGTAAGCTAACAGGTACCTAAGGCCACGTTCTGAATCTGGTAGCCAAGCTGGGCCCAGAACTGAGAATGCCTGTGGCTTGTTTATGTACTTTACCCTAGACAACTGAGTGCCCCAGTCTAATACTTATTTTAGCTGTCCTATATCAGATTACAGATTTTGAAATCCAAAGGTAACTTCAAGCCTTTATTTCTTTAATGTACTTCTTTTAAGTCCGATACTAAACCACTAGCTACCTCTAATTCATTCCCTTTAAAAATCAGAACTTTCTTGGTCCCACTTGAAGGCTAATGTTCTTAGATATATGGAAGACCCATAGGACTTGACAGCAAGTTTTAGCATGATGTGCCATGTACTCCTTTCCTAGCATTCAGTCTTGCCCATGTTTGAACGTCTTTATGCTGATGCTGTGTGCACTCTGCCCTGTTGTCCAGAGGCTCTCAATGGAACACCTGTTTATCTGATCTGGGCATCTATTCTCCTACCTTATCAGGTAGAGGTTGAAACTATTGAAGGCTGTTTTCTTGTTTGAAATAATGTATCACGTGGATTATAGAGCCGATAGAGGAAAACAATGCATCATCCACACCTCCAGCCCTAACCATTGATAACATGTGCATGTTTTTCTTCCTGCTGTTCTCCTGGTCCCTGGGAAATCTTCAGAACCTAAGGGGTGATTATCTTGCCATGTTCCTTCATTCTCTCTTCTTTGGCAGGAGGACCTGTTCCAAACCCCTGGAATGCAGGAGGAGTTACAGCAGATCATTGACTGCCTGGACACCAGCATTCCTGAGACCATCCGTATCCTTTCTGCCCAAGACTTGGGAAGGTACACAGATACTTGAACAAAGTCTTGTTCCCACCTAGATTTGATGTGTGGGTTTCTAGATTGATTTTGTCATTGTCTTATTAGAAGATAACCACTAACTGTGCAGTCGTTTTCTCAAGACTTTTCAGGAGCTTTTGGTCTCTGTGTCACAGCTCTGACTGAGAGGAAACAGAGGATAGGTAACAGCTTTTAATGAGCATACACCATAGGAGCCACAGCACCAATACTGTTTTCCTTCAGCAAGTTGGTCCCTCCTGCTATCCCTTCCTGCCTATGTGTTATCACTAGGGCAGGAAGAAAGATGAGAAACACAGGCAGCTTGTTTCTAGGACCCGTCTAGTGCCAAGTGTCATTATGCAGGCTTGTGCCCCCTGAGTCTAAAGTTGGGTGAACTCTCCCAAGGGACTTTGGCTAATTAATTCTGTACCAATTTAGCTGTAGAGTACCTGGTCAAGTCCCAGGTAGAGCCAGTATATTCTGAATGAGAAGAGATAAACCATCCTTTCAGAGGCTTGAGGAAGGGAGCCTGTCAGGTCTCTGTGTAGCCTTTCCCCGGAGTCATTTCCCCTTGACTTAAGGTAATTCAGCTGGCAGTAACCACTCTGTGGCTGAAGCATTGCTCATTTTCCTGGAAGCCCTGCCAGAGCCAGTCATCTGTTATGAGCTGTATCAGCGATGTCTAGACTCTGCTCATGATCCTCGGATCTGTCGACAGGTGAGTTTTACTGCTCTGAGGATGTGCTTAACATAGGTTTTCATCTAGAGAGATCATCATATACAGCAGGCTGTATGGTAGGATGAGTGTGGATCTGTTGGTCATCACAGGGCAGTGCTTGCTGCCAAGCCTGATGACCCAAAATTGATCCCTGGAATCCATAGTGAAAGGAAAGAACCAATTCCTACAAGGTGTCCTCTGACTTCCGCACATGTGCCCCCACCCCCTGACACACACACACCAAATAAATGATTGATTAATTAAAGTTGAGACCCTTGAATTTTGGGTTGTGTTATTTCCTGTTATATTTGACATCTTTTCTAGTTGGCCTGTTTCTGTTGACAGAAATCTTAGTGGAATGAATACCTGAAGTCTGAGGCAAGACTGGCAAAGCTCATTGTATGTGCAGTTCTAGTTGTCATTACCAGGAAGAGTGGGTGACAATTGGGAGCCCTCCCCACCCTTTCCCTCCTTCCTCCTGCTCCCCCTCCCCCTCTTCTGCCTCCTTATCCTCTTTTTCCTCCATCCTCTTCTTCCTCCTTGATGAGTTTTTAATCTTGAAACATTTTGGTCCACAATAGCCAACACTACCTATGAATCATTGTATCAGTGAGTACTGGGGAGGAAGTCCCCAACAGTGCCCAGTGACACTGTAAAGAAAACCACTTAGGTTGACAGATGCCTTTGCAAACTACCAGGAGAAAAGGGAAAAGAACAGATGAGCACCCACCTTCTTATGAGGCATTGAGTATGAGTCTGTGGACTGCATGGATTTGAGTAGAGAGGGACCAAACAATACTCACTTAAGAGTTATAGTTTGGCCGGGTGTGGTGATGCACACCTTTAATCCCAGGACAGGCAGGCAGAAGCAGGCGGATCTCTGTGAGTTCAAGGCCAGCTTGGTCTACGTAGTGAGTTCCAGGACAGCTAGGGCTACAGGGAGACCCTGTCTCAAAAAGACAAAAAAAAAAAAAGCGTTTGTAGCTGAGCATGGTGGCGCACACCTTTAATCCCAGGACAGGCAAGCCTGGTCTACATAATGGGTTCCAGGCCAGCTGGGGCTACAGAGAGACCCTGTCTCAAAACAAACAAAAAAATAGTTATAATTTGACAGACATTATGTTGACCATGAGTAAGTTTTCAAGGGCAGTGACAGACAATTAGGACCTATAAAGGTTGGACAGCAAATTACTTTTATGGCAGCTATAAATTCTTATTCCCTTCTATCTATTTTGCTTACCACCCATTCTTCTTCTTAAAAACAGGTAATTTCCCAGCTTCCGAGATGCCATAGAAATGTTTTCCGTTACTTGATGGCATTCCTCCGAGAACTCTTAAAATTCTCTGACTATAACAACGTCAGCGCCAACATGATCGGTAAGAGTACTCCATAAGAAAGTCTGTGCAGGAGTGTTCGTGGAGGGTAATCTTTATGCATTGTGCCTTATTCCTTATTCCGTTTTCAGAAACATGGCAGTCACTTCCCTCCTACAGACCTTGTCCCCTGCACCCCCCCAACCCTGTGGCCTTAGTCAAGTCACTATCTGACAAAGGGTTTCCCCTCTTTCTCCCATCTTCTAGCTACCCTCTTCACTAGCCTTCTCCTAAGGCCTCCACCAAACCTCATGGCAAGACAGACTCCAAGTGACCGCCAGCGTGCCATCCAGTTCCTTCTCGGCTTTCTGCTTGGAAATGATGAAGACTAAGTCTTTTCCTATCTGAGACTCTAGACGAAGACTATCTTGGGCTCCAAGTATTTCAGAATGAATTGCAAGGTCATGACACAGAAAGGGTCTATTACAGAATCTCAAGTTCTGTTAATAGTACAAAAACAGAGTCTCCTAATCCGTCCTTTACCATATCCTACACAGCAAAATACTTTTAGATATATATTGCCAAGCCAAAGTTACCATATTTTGATGTTTTTTGTGTTTTCTCTTTGTAAAGCAAAGAGGTCGGTATTTACACTCCTTTACCTAGGGATGTGTTTTTTGCCCTGCTACCTAGTTTTCATGATTGTCCTTAGTACCCTAGGCCTAGATTCTGAGATGCTCCAATTCTCGGCCTTACAAGCACTACTTGCTGTAGCTCAGACTTGTCTCTAGTCCTTTGTGTAATGCACTTTGGATCCATCCTCTCCCCATGTCACTCCTCTACACTCTTCCACTCAGTCCATCACTTTAAAGGAAGCCTGGATGAGGCTAGTGACTCCTTGGGTATCCTCAACAGTGAGCTCACTGTCTAGATGTGATTGTTACATGCATTTGTGCATTTCTACTACAAAGGTATCTGTGTGTCACTGTAACATTGACCTTCTCATGGATCCACACTCGCTGGAACCGTATCCTCTTGTTTCAGATCATGTTTAGTTACATAACTTTAGGAACTGTGGAGATGCCATCCCATTGATGTGGGAGAATCACAGTCGAAAGGGAACCACTTTGAGTCTTTCAGGAGTGAAAATGTTCATGCTTGACAAGTCCTGCTTCCTACTCTCCTTTTCCTGGTAATATCCATATTTGGCATGAGGAGCAGTCCTAGATGTTAGGGAACTCACCTCCCACTGGAAATCCACTTCCAGAGTAACACTTGCATCATGGTCAAAAAAGGAGTCTCTGCACCTCAAGTGAGGCCCTGTGGAGCTATTGCTCCTCCCCAGCCTGGGTACTTTAGGTTAAGCCTCACAACCGTTTTTTCTATCTTCTGAAGAATCAGAGGACAGACGTCACCCCCTCTCTCACAGGACTGACTCTGGGCTCCACATCTGGCTCCTTCAAGGAAAGAATTTAGAGACTTTTCTTGGCTCCTAATCACAGTATCCTGTGCTGTATAAGAGACTGGCCAGTGGGACCAGCCACACACATTACCTCTTCCACCTGAAATGACCCTGCGAGCTTTGCATTTTAGTCAAGCTTTGTGGGACAGACTTTTTTTTTTCAGTGAATCTGTTAATTGGCAAACAAGCCACCAGCTACTGACTGCAAAACTGCCTGGTGAAATTGTCTTGCCTCTGGTTTTCTTTCATTGAAACCAACCCAAGTTGACCTATTCTTGCCTATTAATATTGGATGCAAGGAACTCATACAGCTCTGTATACAGTCTTGGGCACAGATTCCATTACTCTTCTAGCACATCCAAGGAGAAAGGCAGGAAATCATCCACCATCGAATGGTGTTCCCATCTCTTCAAAACTGAGTTATTTGGAGAAGAAAAGGTATGTATCCTGCAAATACTGGTTAAACACTTTCCTGGTTAGGAATTAGAAAATAGGAGTCAAATTATTGGTGCCAGCTAGCTGAAGATCTGATAAGTCAGAGGCCAATTATTGCACTTGGTTAATGGAAGACTTTTGAACAGAAGAGTTTTGTCATATCCATTAGGCCAGAAAGTAATCACAGAAAGAGGCAGATGATAGGAGCTGGGGCAATGTGGTACCACAGAGGAATGCTTCCCCTGGTCCCATTTTCTAAGATCTTGCCAACTTGGGGTGTTTGGGTGACCAAGGATGTGGTGGTTAGTAAGGGCTCTGTGCAGCATGCATGTAGTGTCCTTCCTTCCTCAGACCAGAGCACCAAGTTGCTTCACTGCCTCAACCTTTTAACTTTTTTCCAGCTTGGCCTGGGATGGAGATATATATATGGTTGAGGGTTTTAGACAATCTCTAGGTGGTGGGGGGTACAAGACAGATCAAGTGGAAGAAATCTGTTTCCCTACCATGCCTATCCCAGCACGCCAACCTCTAATTCCTATTCTTCCAAGGTACTTTTTCATAGTTCCTCTGAATTAAGGAAGGGTTTCAGATCCAACTGGTAAGGAAGTACTCTGCATCTGGTGTTTTAGGGAAGAAATGGTTCAAATCTATGGGGTGACATTGCATTAGTCTCCCTTTCACTGTTTTCTGATTCTTAACCTGTAGTTCTTTATTTCCGCAAAATGTCTTGGTCACTGAGCAAAGCTGCTAGTGGGATTCTGTATTTTGTGTCATCTTTTTTATCATAATTTATTGCAATTTTTGAATAAATATATGTTGTGTGAAAAATCAGTGTGATATTAGTCAGAAAAAAACTGGAGGAGAACGGGCTGGAGAGATGGCTCAGTGGTTAAGAGCACTGATTGTTCTTGCGGAAGACCCGGGTTCAAATCCCAGCACCCACATGGCAGCTAGCAACTGTCTGTAACTCCAGTTCCAGGGGATCCGATGGCCTCTTCTGTCCTCCACAGGCATTGCACTTACTGACTTACTGACATGCAGGCAATGTACTCAAAAACATAAAATAAAAATAAAAAATAAAAAAAAAACTGGAGGAGGGAGACTTCTGTCACGAGTGTCACTTGACTTTGCCACAATCCCTACCAACTTATACCTATACCTGTTATCACACATTTCACAGAGAAATACCATTTCAAGTTATTGTGCTGGGGCTGTATCTCAGTGATAAAGTACTTACCTAGTGTGTATGAAGCCTTGGGTTTGATCCTTAGCACCAGCACCACAAAAGTTTATTTTCCTGGACTGGTGAGATGGCTTGACGGGTATAGACACTTGCTACCAAGGCTGATGAACTGAGTTAGATCCCTGGAACTCATTCTGTATTCGTTACTAATCTGTTGTTTTAATAAAAACACTATGACTAGAGCCACATATAGAAGGAAGAGTTTATTTGGCTTATGGTTCCAGAGGGAGAATCCATGATGGCCAGGGAGGCGTGGTTGCAGGAGGCCAGAGTAGAAAGCTAAGCGATCACCTCTTCAAGCAGGTACAGGAAGCTGAGCAATTCTGGAGTCCAGCAAGGCTTAATAACTCAGAAGGCCAGTGATGTACTTCCTCTAGCATGGCCATACCTCCCAAAGCACCACGAACTGGGGACCAAGTGTTGGCGCCTATGGGGAAGACACATTCAAGCCACCACACTGGTCTCACTTGAGTTTGCTGCAATCCCTATCAACTATACCTGTATCTCTTATCACCAATCTTTTAGAGAAAGGTCATTTAAAATTATTATGCTAGGTCTGCAACTCAGTGGGCAAAGTGCTTAACTAGCATGCAAGAAGCCTTGGGTTTAATGCTCAGCACCAGCACTATTAAAATGTATTTTCCTGGACTGGTGAGATGTCTCAATAGGTAAAGGCACTTGCTGCCAAGACTGATGACCCAAGTTAGATCCCTAGAACCTACATGGTAGAAGGAGAGAACTGACCTTTGAAGTTGTCCTCTGATCTTTACACATGCGTCATACATGTCTGTCCCCCACGATACATGAGAAAGAAAAATTGGGTCTGGAGAGATGGCTCAACAGTTAAGAGCATTTGCTGCTCTTTCAAAGCCCTCAAAGTTTGGTTCCCAGCAACCATATTGGTTTGCTCTCAGCTGCCTGTAACTCGAGCATTAGGTCCTCTTCAGGCACCTGTACACCCATGACATACACACACACACACACACACACACACACACACACACACACAAATAATTACTTCCAAAAAGAATCAAGGAGACAGGACTATGGAGATATGTGGCTCAGTTGGTTAAAGTGCTTACTGCTTAAACATGAGGAAGATCCACCTGCCTCTGCCTCCCAAGTGCTGGGATTAAAGGCGTGCGCCACCAGGCCCGGCTATGATAAATATTTTTTAAAACGTAAAAAGAAGATGCATTTTCCCTGAGAGATGAGAAGCCATATATGTTCAGTGACTCATAAAGATGTCATGTGCTTTCATAGGACAACAAGTACCCTGATTTTAAACCTAAGGGTTCAGGCAACAGTGAGTATATGAGAAGAAATTTTTCTTTTTCAGAGGTGAGGTGTGATGTGAAATGAAATCTCACTATGTTGCTGAGACTGGTCTTGAACTCTTAGACTCAAGCAACTCTCCTGACCTAGCCTCCCTTGGGACCACAGACACATACCACCTTTTTTATGTGTATGAGTGTTTTCCCTACACGTATGTAAGTGCACCCATGTTGTACATGCCTACAGCAGTCAGAAGAGAGCATCAGAGTCCCCCAGAACTGGAGTTACAGATGATTGTTAGCCCCCAAGTGGGTGCTGGGAATTGAACCCAGGTCCTCTGATAGAGTAGCCAGTGCTCTTAACTGCTGAGCCATCTCTCCAGCCTGCACACACTACTTTTGCCTGGTCAAATATTAATTTTTTGTGCATATAAATGTCACAGTAGGCCACATCCATGATCCCTCAAGCTCCAGAGTTATGGCAAGCCCTAGCATACACATTTCAGGGGAACCTCATTCTTTTCGACAGCCTAGGTGGATTAGACATGACTCCTAAAGAGTCTGTTTTCATATATTCCACTTTAGAACCTTTGAAAACCTTAATGGCTCTTGGGGTGATGTAGTGCATACATTTAATACTTGGGGGGATGGAATGAGCTTTCTAGTACTTTGAGAGGATGTGCCTGATCTGAGCAAGGCACCTCTGTACCCTGGCCCATCTCCATCATGAATTTGTGGATTCTGATTTCATTACCCCTGAGACTGAGGCAGCCTCAGCAGGAGGTTTCTTCCCAACCAGGGCCCTCCTCCTGTTCCCTCCCACTGTGAGCCTGCCTGTGATATGTGCAGACTCAGTGTTGTCAGGATGTTTTTTTCTAGCTCGACCCAAAGGCTTGGCAGAAGAATGTGAGTCCTTTCAAAAGATTTCCTCTCTGGGAATGGTGACTGACACCCAGCACTTTCTATGGAGCAAGAGTCAATGTGGTATATGTGACACAGTAACTGTCCTTGCTTGAGGTTACAGAGAAAACTGCATCCCCCACCTGCCCTAATTCTCTTGTGTTGTAGGGGCCCCAATTGGGGCCTTTTTGATTCAAGACAAGTTGAAGAACAGGCTCTTGATGTGACTTAATAATCCATAGCCACACACTGTTTCTATTGAGCCACAAAATCTTGAGAGAATCATAGTAATGATTTGATCCAATGTCATTATGCAAATGGAGAGTTTCAGAAAGAATAATGATTGGCTTAAAGTCACATGGTTAGGGACACAGTATGGCATAGTGGGGAAGAAAAGGGGCTTAAGCTTTACAATTTAATGTAGTTCAATGAACACTATTCATGTCTTAACCTGTACTCACCAGTTAACATTTGGCCACAGTTGCCTTATCTCAGAGAGGCCTGATGTTCAATCTAGTTCCTGCCACTTCCTTATTGTGTATGACTTTGGGTTACTTAACCTGTCGTTTCCCTGCCTATAATGAAATAGGTATAGTATTGACTTTATATGATGGAATTACATCAGTCTCATCACTTCCTTGTAAAAAATCCCTGAAGGACTTCTCAGTACATTTAGAACAATATCCCAATTTTCTCATGACCTGAAAAACCTGGCATTTTTAAGTGGAAAGTGAATTAAGCTGCCAGCATAGTACATGGCACACAGAAGCTCCTGTGTCGATTCCCTGCTCCTCCCAAAGTTCTGTGCTAGCACACTGACTTTAGGTTTCTTATTTAATGCTAGTAACCTTGTCAGATAGACAAGAACCTGCTGCTATTCACCCTATTAAATGCCCCTTCTTACCCCCTACTGTGAGGCATGCCACTTGACCAACACTTATACTTCTGTGTTTCAGAGTTTACCCACAGACTATTTTATGTATATTTTTATTGAATTTTTGTGCAATTCATACAATAAATCTTAATCATATTTAGATACCCCTCCCCCAACTGCACCCCCTATAGCCCCACCACCAGGTTTCCTGTATTCTGTCATATGTATTAAGGCCTATTGAGTCAAGCTTTTGTACCCAGATGTCCCTCTATGCAAGTTCATCCCTTAGATAGAGTCTTGTACAGACATGGTGTTACATGCCTATAATTCCAGCATTTGAGAGTCAGAAGCAGGCCAGCCTGGTCCACACAGCAAGTTCCAGACCAGCTGGGGCTATAGGGAGACCCTGTCTCAAAAAGACCAAAAATTTAATTAAAAATTGAAAATATAAAAATAGAAATTTGTGTGTGTGTATGTGTTTGTGTGTGCATGTGTGTGTGGTATGTGTGTGCAGGTTCACACCTGCCACACTACACATGTAGAGTTCAGGAGACAACTTTGGGGAGTCACTTCTCTCCTTGCACTGTTGGATCCGGGGATTGAGCTCAGGTCCTCAGGCTTGCATAGGAAGCACTTTTTACCTGCTGAGCCATCACACTGACCCCCATAAACGTTTTTGAAAGTAGGAGTGATATATATTTAAAGCATGATTAAATAACAAGCCAATTGTGTTTGTACATCTGTAAGTTCAATGCTTGCTTGGGAGGCTGAAGCATGAGGACCTGGAGTTAGAGACCAGCCTGGATTACATACTGAGTTCAAGGCTAGTCTGTCCTGTGTAAGAAGGCCCTGTCTTGATTTAAAAGAAAGAAGAAGAGGAAGAGGAAGAGGAAGAGGAAGAGGAAGAGGAAGAAGAAGAAGAAGAAGAAGAAGAAGAAGAAGAAGAAGAAGAAGAAGAAGAAGAAGAAGAAGAAGAAGAAAGAAGAAGGAGAAGAAAGAAGAAGAAAACTGCCCTCACACCAGTGTGCAGCACACTGGCTGCTCTGCCCATTCCTCCCTCCTGGCCTCCCTTTTGTTTTCCTGTGGAACTTTACCTTTTGCTTCTATTACTCCGTTTTGTGGTAAATACCTTCTTTGAGCCTTTGCTCCCCAGGCCTTCTCTGACTCCTCACCTAAATTGATGCTTACCCAGCCAGCACTACCTTCTCTCTCCTCTCCTGAGGAAACTATTCCCATTCTTCTAGCTCCCTTGGTAAAAAAGAGCCTTGCTTGTTGGGTAATCATAGTTCTGAGCTGTTCACTGCCCCATCTGCAGTTTAGATGAGTTGTTCTCAAGCCTGACCCTCAATTCAGTCAGCTACAGTCATGCTTCTCAAAGGGGTCCTCAATCCAGCAGCATCAGCAGTACCTGGAAACTGCTCTAATGGCACAATGGCCAGAGTGTCAAAAATACCGATGCCCAAGGCCCCACTTAAGACTCTTGAATGAGATTTTCCTCATTAGGTCTTAGGCATCAGAATATTTTTAAACCCCCTTAGGACAATGTTTCTCAAACCGAGCATCATAGTCACTTAAGCTTAAGAACTGCCTGGAGTACTGGGACTCACCTCTATGGTTTCAGAGTAAG